GTCCCCTTTGAATGCAGGCATCCCACATTTTTGCTTTCTCCCCATGACCTGGAGTTCTTAGGCTGTCGGCTGGAATTGGACACCAGCCCTTTGTCTGGAGGGTCAATTGAGGCCTCTATAGCAGTGGTGAGATGATGGAAGGGACTTGGGGGTCCTGAGAAGGCAAGAGGGAGCAGGCACTGCACTCTCTGGCCCTCTCCCTGGGCCAATCTTACACCCCCGCCTCAGTCTCACCCTCCCTTGCCCAGTGTCCCTGCACCCCATCCCAGAGCCCGGGCCTTGACAACTCCACAAAGCAGTTATGAATGAGCTGGCTGTCCCTATTTCCATCTTTGTTCCTGCCATACCCTGTTTCCCTGGCCACCCCTTACCTCACTCTCACACTGGAGATATTTCTCTGAGTTCCCACACATCAGGCTGAGAAGATGGGGAAGGCCTCTGGGAGGGTGGGTTTGGGAACCCAGGGCCATTGGGTTTAAACTGGGAACCTGGACCCCAGGCCCTGTTGCCCCTTGGGGCTTCAAATCCATCTACCCCTTCTACTCTCATCTTGCAAGGTTGGCGCCCTGCCCAGGACCCCCACCCATCTGTGTCCTTGGACTTCTGAGAAGCGGGCAGCCTTCTTCTCCCTGCCCTCACTCTGCCCGTTGCCCATGCTTGGGGCTCTGATCCTTTTTCCCGGCACTTGCTGAATGGAGCCTTGTTCTCCACAGCCGGTGAGGGCGCCACACAGCAAGGACAGCCCCCAAGGGGCTGTGCTGTTTTTATCCCAAGATGCCGGGCTGTTAGGCAGGGTACGGTCCAAGGCCCCTGTTCAAAGACTTCTCGGAAAGCATCTGAGGGGGGCTCGGGTGCAATGGGGAACAGGCTTTGTGCCCACCCCTGACCATTGTATCTGTGCCAAGGTGAGTCATTCAGTGGGGACTCAGGGAAGGCCCTGGGAGGTGGCCAGCCCAGCACTGCCAGGTCTCCAGCTCTGCAGACAAGGCTTGACTGCTCACCCTCTCCCCAGCTCTCAGAGCCAGCTCAGGCCCCTGAGCCCCAGCCAAGGCAATGCCCTGACCCCACGCTGGGAGAGATGCTTTTCATTTGGGCATGTTATGGGCGCCCGCCGAGGTTTTCCCCGTGACTCTTAGTGCAGAGAGAAGAGATAAGAGTTCCTAAGTCTCTAGCCACATCCGACCCCAGGGCCAGAGCAGGGACGTGAGAAGGGGAATCTTGAGCAGAGGGTGACCAGTGACTTTTGATCCTGCTGTAGGTTGGGGAGATGGGGGAGGACAGGGCTCCTTAAAGGAAGAGCAAGACTGGGGACAAACCCTATCCTTTCCTGTCTGTGGCTAGGAGTGGCTGCCTTTCCGTCTTGCCGGGCATGTCACAGCGTATATCCTCCTCTTCTTGCTCAAGTGAAATCTAGTTGAAATGAGCGCCAAGCAGTCATGGAGGGAAGAGGTATAACAAGAGCAAGAAGTACTTGTCAGTGATGCTGAATGAATTATACCTGTATATGTGAGACGCAGGTGTGTTTCAGCAGCAGCAGATGGAGGCCCCACCTTCACCCGCTTCAGCCCTTGGGCCCCTGTCATAGGCTCAGGCTTCTTGCTCCATCTTTCACCTCCATCCGACCCTCAGACCCAGCCCGGAACTCAGCCTTTACCGATCTAAAGATGCCTACACAGAGAACCAGCAAAGGAGACAGACTTGGTTGCGATTGTGTGCCCCACTTTCGTTACTTTTTTATTACACAATCATTGTAGAAAAATTAGAAATTACAGATAAGCAATAAAAATAATAATAAAAAATTAGCTACAATTTTGCCACCTGGAGATAAACACTGCCAGATTTCCCCCCACACATATAAATTCAGTTTTTCACAAGTGGGTCCTGCTGTACAAATTACTTTGCAATTTGCTTTTTTCACTCAGCAATGTGTTGTGAACATCTTTCCATATCAATAAATATTTATCTACATCATCATTTTAACAGCTGCATGGTTTTTCACTACATGCATTAATTTAAACAACCCTATTGTTGGATAGTTATGTTCTCTCTCTCTCTCTCTCTCTCTCTCTCTCTCTCTCTCTCTCTCTCTCTCCTAGATGCACACCTGCCCCATCAACCTGGGGCTTCCTCGCCTGCTTCCCCAATCTGAGGGCTTCAACATCTGGAGCTTCAGGCCAATCCCTAGATGGACTTCTGGATTAGACAGAAGGCTGAAGGCCATGGGGAGAGGATGCCTGGACGCCCCTCCACAGGGCCTTCAGCCAAGCCATGCCCTGCTTCAGGTGGAGATGAGAACAAGGTGCCCTCCACTCCCTGTGCCCCTTCCCTACGTCAAAACCTGTCAGGATGCCCTCTTACCCACAGAGCCCAAATGCCTCCCAGGACATACCAATACCACACCTTAACCCACACACAAGGTGCTCAGCATTTTCTAAATTTGCCAGCCTCTGATTCAAATGGCTGTTTTGCCATTGGACTGCTGCCCACTGGCTCCATTAGAGCCCCTGCCCCTCTCCCAGTGCCTGACATGGCATGGTGGGCAGCAAACGTGGGTGGAATGAAGAGAACATGGGTCTTTCTGGCTGACCCCTTGCGGACGGCTGAGTCTAGTCTGTCCATCCCATGGACCATCCCTAAGAAAGGGAACCTGGCGCTGGTGGCCACTAGATGGCAGTGCTCAGCTGCCCAGGTCCTAGTGGCTATTGGGCCACAGCCTTTTAGAAGCCGTGAGAAAGCGGTCTCAGCCGTAGTGGGCAGGCTTTCCAAAACTGAAATTTGTATCACACAGAAGCATCACCCCCTTATTCTCTAGAGTTGCCTCTGACTGCTATGGCAATGCCCTCTAGGTCAGAGAGCAAGGCCATGGCCACTCAATAGCTGTATGATACTGGCCGACTTCAGGAAACTTCTAAGTCTCCATTTCCACATCTGTCAAATGGGGACTCGCTATACTTACTTCCATGGTAGTTGTGAGGATAAAATCAGTGAAAGCCAGACAGAGCAGGGCACTCAACAAATCACAGCTTCTATTTAATAACACCTACCCGGTGCTTTACCTATCTACATGTTAGCACATTTGTGATTGGGTGGGCGCTGGGTCCACCAGGAAGGGCTGCCATGGCCTATTGACTCCATTGGGGGTGAGGGAGGGACAGAAAACAGCATGTGGGTAGCCACTCCCCCCACACACACACACAAAGGGCACACAAAGGAGACAGGGGGCAGCGGGCAATGAGGACAGTGTGGGAATCAGCACTGTTTGTCCCAGACCACTAGTTGTTCATGGCTTTGGCTCTGCCAGAGGACACACAAGTGACCTCCACCTGCCCCAGAGGAGACTATGAGGCTGTTTCCCAGCCTGCTTTCTTGCCTCCCTGACTGCTCTATCCTTGCTTTGCCTCAACCTTAAGACTACAGGCCCCAACCCTATTCAGTTTGAGAAGCTCTTGGCGTGTCAACATCTCCTGTGGGAGTGGGTCTTTTCTGCACCTCAGCCTGATGTTCCCCAAGGAAAGGGGCCCTTTCTCCCCGCCATGATGGGGACTTCCTAATGCTGGGACCTATGTCTCATCAGACTGGGATCACCCTAAAAATAAGGTCTGTCTCCCACTTCAGACTAAGGCACCCACAGGACAGGAGTCACCCTCTCCCCTTGGATGGGAGCTCTCTGATGTGAGAATCCATGGTTCATGATCAGTTGGGAGCTCCATTTTTTTTTTTTTTTTGTAGAGGGCCGTGTTACTGGCCCTCACATGTGGGATCCGAACCGGGGCCCTCTGGCATCCCAAGCCAGTTCTTAACCATTGCGCCACTTGGCTGGCCCTGTTGGGAACTTCTTCAGGGCAGGAGTTGTCTCCCCCTTCCAGCTGGAGGAGGGCTGCCTCAGGCCAAGGTGGGTTCCTTCTCCCATCCACAGCCCGTGCCCAGCCAGGCTTTGCTGCTTAGAAGCGCCTAACTCCTGTGGCTGAAGAAGGGTTCCTGGCTGAACCCCCAGGCTCTGTCCCCTTCCTCTTCCCGGCATCAGAGGCATCAGCTCACTCACCTTCACAGACCCAGGGACCGGGCTGCTGTGTTGGGGCTATAAGCTCAGGCTCTGCCTCTCCTCCCCCAGCCAGGGCCTGCTCCAGTCTCCCTCCACTTCTCAGCCTCTAACCCTGAGACCGACTTTTTAATTGCTTTCCCCTATCTGCTCTGCTCCCTACTCCCCTCCATCTCCCTGCCTGACTGCGTCCCTCTAGGAGGATGAGGCGGGGGCCAGATGTGTTCCTGGCAAGAGGAGAGGACTGGCAGGTGGCCTGTTATTTCCAATCCAGTGGTCCTTCAAATGGACAGGATGAACCTGGGGACGGGGGTGGGAGCTCTGTGGGCAAGGTGAGGGGAGCCCTTGTGGGGAGCTGGAAAACACAGCCATAGTCTCCAGGCCCCCTGGGATAACTCTGGTCACTTTCAACCCCAAAACCTCCATTCCAAAGCCCTCCTGGGTCCCTCTGTGCAAAAGAACTATGGAGGAGGGGAAGACAGCCATGAACTAGATTCTTTCTGGGAACCAGGATCCCCCAAACTTGGCCAAGAGCTAAAGGGACACTCCTGGGAGAACCTGGGGACAGGTGAGCAGGGGTCTGGGAGACAGGACTCTTGGGTTAGCAGCTGCCAAGGAGGCTTCCCATGTGGTGACTAGGTCCCCTGTGGGGGCCAAGCCGGAGGTCCCGAAAAAGCCCAGTTCCCTCCCATTGACAGGTCCCAACATTGATGGAGGTTTGACTGACACTCAGGTAACAGGGACCGGTGCCATCCTGATTCCCTGCATGAAGAGACCATGTCTGTTCTCTGTGTCTGAAGCTCCTGGCACTGAGCCTAGTTCTCTAAATTGGGCAGGAATTTGTACCCGAGTGAGGTCCATACCTGAGCTGCAGGGCTTGAGGTGGGTGTAAAGGGACTGGGAAGAGGATACTTCTAAACCCCCGGAAGTAGAGTGAGGGGCTCTGTAAATACCCCAAGGTGGCAGAGGCTGGGTAAAGCAGGAAGAGGGACCTTAGAGCAGGCTGGGCTTGCAGTCAATGGGGGTGCCATTGATTGCTGGGCCCGCAGTGGAGTGGGGGGGGGCATGGATTGTTGTGTCTTGAGGATGATGCTCTTTATGTAAGAACAATCCAGTCTAGAGCCTTGTCACTGCCCACGGAGGTCAGTTGGGATCTGGCTGTCAGCTCGCTGCCCCTCTTGGCCCCTGCCAGCTCTCAGCAAAGATGGGACCAGCCAGGCTGCCTTCCAGCAAGTGGGCACACTCAGCCCGACCTTCCATGATTGAGGGCAGGAGCCACATGTGCTTAACTCCATCAGCAGAGTCTTTGTACATTTAACGGGTCACCCGAGAGCACATTTTGCATCACGGAGCCACAAGTGTTTGCTGAGCGAATGGCCGGCTGTAGAACATTCTTGTCTAGAGTGACCTTTTCCACTTGCATAAGCTGCCCCCAGCCCAAGCGAATTCTGCCTCATGCAATGGACCCTGTTGCGTGAAGCTTGCCCTCCTGGCCCTAGTTGCCAGCTGCCTTGCCCTGTGCCTGCTGCCTCTGCACTTGCAGGGGTGATGGTGACAATCAAATGAGATAATATATGTGAGGGCCCCAGGAAACGGGAAGTTATTCAATTTGAATCCAACCAGCACTCACCGAGGCCTCCTAAGGTCACAGCACCACGCCAGGCTGCTGGGGGCTACAGATGTGAAGCTGTGACAGCTTCTGTGGGAATCATGGTACACAGGGGAAAAAAACTCATTAAGACTAATTGGAGGGGAGGGAACCCCAGGCACATGGGAAAGAAATGATGTCTGTTCGCTTCTAAAGGGAAGCAGCTTGGTGCCAAGCAAAGGAGCAGACCCCAGTTTGAATCCTGGTGCTAACTCTGGGCATGTTTTATTAACTGTTTTGCATCTGTTTCCTCGCTATACCCCACAAGATCGTGAAGTTTTGTGAAGATGCCTGCAGCTGGTAGGAACTCAGTTCTCTGTTTCGTGTCCTTCCAGTCCTGCGAAAAGGAGTCATAACAGGGCGGGAGAGGCTCGCCAGTTCAGGGGAATGCCGCTCCCCAGAGTAGTGAGGACTCATTTGAAATCAGCAGGATTATTTACACGCTATTCACGATGTACTAAATGCCTTTAACATGTTTGTTTTCAGAAGCAAGTTAAACACGGACCCCTGTAATTTTGTTTACACTCTTAATTCATTCAGACAGCCACGTCTTCCTGGAGAGACAGAGGTAAGCTTGTGTTGAACTGTCACCATCTAAATGAGTGGAAAGTCACCAGCAGTGGTGGGGAGTGGGGCTTTCGGGGACAGGTAGGAGGAAAGTTGCACGGGCTTCAAGCCTGTTGGGGCTTGTCCTGCAGCCTCAGCTAAGACCTGGAGAACCACAAAGACTCTCCTCAGCTGACTGACCACAGGACTCCTAACAACCGGAGCCCACACTGTAGGGGGATGGAGCAGGCTTCCAGGTGTGATGCCTCCTTCACCTGCTCAGGAGCAGACCGGGATCCTGCAGGAGGCAGAAGAAAATGGTTTCTACACCCAGAAGTTTCTCGAGGTCTTGAAGAGTGGGAAGGTGAGAAAGGGAAGGTGTGTTGCTATTCTCCCTACGTGTACAGAGAGAAACACACACCAAGGATAGAGATGGTTTATTCATCAGTATAATAAAAATATATCTATATATCTATGTATGTATATATGCAGAAATAAAGGATCTGAGGGTATAAACCCAAGTAGTAACACCTCTGATAATACTGGTAGCATTAAGGCTGCATTTCTCTTTCTTCTTTACACTTCTTTTTACACTGAGTGTGTATCCTGTTTACAACATGGTAAAAACAAGGAAGCTATCTTCATTTGGAAATTGAGTTGCCACCGTCATCTGCATCATCACCAGGACTGTGGCTTGGGTCTGGGGCTCCTGTTCCAGGCTGGGAGGATGGGGCTGAAGACGCCCCTCTCTCAAAAACCAGGAAGAGTCAAGCTGGGACTCCTCATCACGTCTCCATCCCATCCTCATCCCCCCTCCACTGCCATCACTGCGCAGAGCCGTGTTAGACCGGGAGCAGAGAACAAATCCCCCCAAAGCCACCTGCCTGCAGGGAGGGTGTTATATTCTGGGGGGAATGATGGCAGCACACTTTAAAATAGCAACATGTTAACACTCACAAATGAATCTATACATGCTGAGAAGCTGAGTGTAACAAGAGATTAATAAAGAGGGCGAGTAGCAGAATGAATGGCTGGGGGAGGGGTGTTAATAAAGGAAGAGGGTGTTGGCATTAATTGCTCCGAGCTGAGGAAGGCAGGTCAGGGCTTCAGGATTCAGGAAGGGACAGTCGGCCAAGAGGGGTTGGCGGTCAGGACACCTTGGCGATGCAGCTCCCAGATGACAGCGCTCCCCCAGCCCTCATCAGTTCCTTCTGGCTCCTCTGGTTGCCAGGGTAGCGGGGACTGGAGGGGAGCTCTGCAGGCCAGTTACATAGAAGGAGGCAGGGTGAAGGAGGAAAGTGAGGCTGTGTCCCACTCTTCCCCTCCCCCAGCCCATCTCTCTCATCAGGGTCACCAAGACACTTGGAAGCACCCTTCCTCTCACCGGGTCTCCACCTCCCCTGTCCCCTTCTTAATTCCTATTTTCCTCTGTCACTGTGGCCTAGACCACCCCTGTTCTCAATGCCAGTCACCTGGGGTTGCGAGGGGCTCAGCTGGCCTCTTCAAGGTGCTGCTGGGGAGGCACGCTATGCGGCTTCTGCGAGAGACTGAGGAACTGAGGGAAGGAAGAAAGGTCACAGCCATGCCCGGGAGCTGCAGGTGGGGGATGGGGGAGGTGGAGGGAGACACCAAGCCTTGAGAACAGGGCAAGGCTGGGCACCAACAAGTGCTTTCAAGGCCAGATCTGAGAATGGGAGGTGGGGGGAAGGGAGGGAGTTCGTGGGGTTTAAGAAGTGAGGGGGTGGGAGTACATTCTCTAGATTAATCAGTGAACACTGAATGAATGAATGGGAGTACATTCTCTAGATTAATCAGTGAACACTGAATGTCTCCCTCGTGGAGAGGGGGCCTGTGGCCTTTAACCAAAGAAGGGAGACACCCTTCACCTCTAGTATAATCCCGCAATAATAGCAAGGGCCAAGGGAACCTCAGACAGAAAATCAGACTCAGGCCCTGCTCACAGGACTCCTGCTCGGGCCCAGAGACTCAAGGGGGGCCTGTAGTTGGCCCAGGCATCCAACGCCCTGATGAAAGCTCTCCTCCCCCGCCGCCCTGCACCTCCCCAACCTCACCTCACAATGCGCCTCTTCTTGCGGGCTGAGGTCCCAGGGAAGGAAGACACTGGCTTGGGGCCCTTCATGGTGAACAGGGGCACAGGTCTACTGGGGGAGGGAGGAAGATGAAGGAGGGAGGTGGCTCAGGAGGGAACCAGAAAAGGGTGCCAGTGCCTCCTCCCTCCAGCCCAGCGTGGGGGGTGGGGAGAGTGAACAAGATGACCTCTAGGTTTCTTCCTACTAAGAGGTGGATTCCTCTGCCTGCCTCACTTGGCCTGGGCTGACAGCTGAGTGACAGGCCTGTTCTGGGAGAATATCCAGGTGTCAGTTTCTGGTGCGTCCAGGGGACTGGAGTTCAAACGATTTCACCCTTCCACCTGCCCACTCGGAGCTTGTTACTAACAGGTGGTTTGGGGCAGGGGTGTGGCGGGCAGCCTGCTGTCCTTGGCCTCACAAGTCCAGGTCAGTCTGCTACTTGTTCTTGGCCTTGGGCTGTCCTGAGCTGGTCACTATTCTCCTACCCTGCTATGCGGGTGGAAGGCAGGGTTGCGAGCTTCATCTTCTCACTGAAAAATGCTGAATCAAGTTTTCTGAAGATTCCCCTTCCCAGTTCCAGATGCTGGGCTGGATGGAGCGGCAGAAAGATATTTCCTAGCGGGACACAGAACTCAGGGAGGACCTAAGGGCCCAAGCAATGCAGAGGATCAGAGATGGCTGGGCTCCGCTTGTGAATTCCTGCTCCCTGCTGACCCTGCCGTTAGCTACTTATGGCTGTACCTGCCATAAACCAGCATGGAGCTGGTGGCTTTGAGGTAGACAGACCAGGCAGGGCCCCTGAGAGTAGCAATGCCTCCATGGAAGTGTATGTTCTGCCCTCCTGGGCCTGGGGAGTGACCAATCTGATCAGACCAAAGGCAAAGAGGTGGCAAACGTTCTAGCTCCAGAGTTGGGCTGTCTTCCACGTCTCTTGGCAGCACCATTGTACCTGGCTGACCCCTGAGCCCCTGCGGGGAGGGTTGGGAGGGAGGCTGGAAGGGACACCCACCTGGGGATGAAGGGCTGATGCAGCCTTTTCAGTTCCTGGGGGGCATTCTCCCAGCCAGCATCTTCATGGAAACCCAGCTTTGTGGGGAGCTCCTCGGAGAGATCAAACGTGGTGTTGAGGTCCCTTGCAGGCAGGCCCAGAGGGGTGGAGCAGTTCTGCACAGCAGATGGGCCCAGAGGCACCCGGCTTTTGATGACTGTGGCTGGGCAGAAGCGAGGAGAGTGGCAGGGGGAAGAGACCCTTCCCCCTTTGGGGGTGCTGGGTCCCAGTGAATGCTGAGCCTCAGGCAGCGACCCCCTCCTCAGGCAGGGCAGGAAGGACTGGCGCTGGCGCTTGGTCCCCAGCTTTGGAGCTGGGGGACCATCTTGCTCTGAGGGGCTCGGTCTCTTCCTTCTCCTCTTCTCCATGGGCTGTGGAGATGTCGGGGCTGGGGTGCAGTCAGGCCCAGGTGGGACCCCGAGAATGTGCATGAAGCCACTCAGTTGCTTTGCCATGGTCCGGGTCACAGGGCCAGAGTATCCTGGAGCTTCTGGGCAGAGAGAAGGAGGGTGCTGAGAGGAGATCAGGGACTGGCCAGAAGAAAGGAGTTTCTAGAATTTGGGGAGATAGACACTGGAGACATGCAGGAGCCCCTAACTCCTCAGTTCTGCCTTGACTCCTGGGCTTCTCTGTATGCAGAAGTCCATGATCCCAGGGGCCTAGCCTCCTGCCAAAGCATAACCCTGCATCTGAGGTCGCGGCCACCCCTTGGCACCAGCTGGGCTTTGGAGACGACACCAATAGGCAGAGGCAGAGCAGGCGCAAGACTCACTTGACTTTGAACACAGCTCCTGAGCCAGAGGTGCCCCCTTGGCCGGACCAGGAGTCCCTGAGGTCTCAGTTCCAGGCCCAGTTTTTTCCTCTTGCACCAACTGCTGCAGGGTCTCAAACTCGGCAATCATGTCGGGGGTCAGCAGGTTGGCTGCTTGGAGCAGAGAATACTGCCGCTGGGCCAAGCACAGCACCTTTAGCGCCAACCTGGAAGAGAGGGAAAGGGATCCCCACCCTACTCAACCCAGCTGGCCAGTGTCCTCTCTGCCATTCACCTGGTCCTGTTGCTCCGGGTGTGGTGAGAAGCGCATATGGCCTGGCCCCTGGCCCCCTTCTGCCTTGCCCCAGGCTAGCCGGCTGGCCTCCCCACCGTTCCAGCCATGGCTCCTGCTCTGCCATGCCCTTGCTGAAGACCAAGGCTGGCAGGGATGGTTGCAGGTAATGATGGGAGGCTTTACCCACTAAACATGGCCCCCGACAAAGGTAGTGACCTGGGAAATAGGGAGAGGGTGCTAAGTGGCCTTGGACTCTGCCACCTACTAGTGCTACGATCTTGAGTAAAGTTCATTTTCCTGAGGGGCAATAAAGTTAGTAGTGAGCCAGACTCAAGTCAGAAGGCCAGCCTGCCAGGTCACATCCCGGCTCCGACACTTCCGAGCTGTTGAGCTTGGATCACGGCTCACCCTCAGTCTCCACATCCTTTAAATGGGAGTAACAAGTACAACCCACCTCATTGGGCTGTTGGGAAGATGAAATGAGTCGCCTTATACAGAGAGTGTTTAAAGAGTACCTGGTACACAGTGAGTGGGTAACGATTGTTTTCTGTAAAATAGAAATGCCATCTACCTCATTAGGAAGAGATTAAACAAGACAGGTTGTGTGATCTTGGTTCCGAGAAGACCCTCACAAAGGCATTCAGTCTGTGCCTTTTATTTAACTCTACTTAATGGCTGGGATCCTGAAAGAGTATGTGTGAATCAGCGAATATTTCACATGCACTGAGGGGCTATTTAAGGGAAATTATGAGAGTAATGCGATTATTGATGTTGTAAATTTAGATTCTAATAAAGCAAATTTCCTTTCTGTCAGGCACACCTACGATAAAAGAATAAACACAATTATCTCGGTGGGGATTAGTCATGGCCAATAATTTATCCTCAGGTAGCATAATCTACTACCTGCCTGGACACCTCTGAGCCCCCTCCTCTGCCCTCAGCATGAGCTTGGGGAACCCAAACTCATTTTCTAAAGCAGCCTCCAGGCCTTTTGAAAGCAGGCAGGATATAAATTAAAAAAGACACAGCAGAAAATCATTCTATATCTACCTGAGCCACACGTATGAAGATTAGACTACTGAGGAATGTGGGTGTGTGGGGAGAAACACGCTGGGTTGGATATCAGATGACCTGGGTCTGGCTCCATCCCTCTTGCTGTAGCTATGGGGCTCCAGGCAGATGACTCGGTACCCGATATGACAAATGGGGACTTGGTCTATATCAGGGGTTTTCAAATTAGGTTTCAAGAAACCCATCTGAGGACATTTTAAATGGTGCAGCTCTGCCTTATCTGTTCTACATATTAGATTTCAGCCTAAGATTTCATTTGAAGTAGGACTTTGGAGCTAAAAAAATTCTGAAAACCATTGAACTAGAAAATCTAAGCTCGACTCAGTGCCCTGGTGGTCTAAGATTCTAAAGTCTAAAGCCAAAGAGAAATTATTTTCCGTTATCTGGTTGTTAGGGTGTTTCCAAGTATGGAGATGATCTAGAATGTTCTGCAATCCCTAACGCTTCGGGTCTTCTGTCACATTTTATGAATTACTTCAGCTCAAAGAAGTAGGGAGAGTAAGGCCTATGAATCCCAAATCATAGCCAAGACTGAAGTAACTTGTGGGAGGCCACAAAACCAGGGGCGCAGCAGAAACGAGAACCCTGTCGTCCTCTCTCCTCACCAATGGGGGACACCAAGCAGAGAGAACCTGAGTCATCAGTGGGAGCCTGTGGTCGCTCCCCGGGGACCAAGGGGACCTCCTGCCAATGCATCCCTGCCACTCCTGGGTCCCAGGGAGTCAGCGGCAGGAGGCAGATAATAAGCTGCTGATTATTCCGGCTGCAGCATTTTTGCTGAGTCGGGAACAGACACTCCCCAACAAAAAATAAAATTAAACAGGCCCTTCTGTCCGGAAGCTTTAAATATACTGCCTAGCGTGAAGCGTGCTGGGGAGGGCAGAGTGGGGTTGGCAGCAGCAGAGTTAAGTGGCAGGGGATTTATTTTCTGGGGGCCAAGGAAAAACATACTAACAGCATCTCTCTATTCAGCACAGAAAGAATGGTCCAAGATCCATTCCTCTTTGGCTTTGGGTGGTGGTTTGTATTTACTTCTGAGAAGAAACAGCTACAGTCAATCTGTTGTTGAAGACACTTGGTAAACACCTGACTCAGGAAGGCTGTTCCTCCTCAGCCCGCCACCTGACTTCTCTCGGCTGCTCCCTCCTTGCTGAGGACAGGCAGTGTGGCCCTCAGAGTGGAAAGCAAAGCACTAGCCCAGGCACCCCTGCCCTAACTCGGTGCTTGCCAGCTATCTGGGTGGAATTTGGTGTTTTGTTTCCTGTTGTGCTGCCTGCTGCACTGGAATACATAGAGAGATGATAAGTAAATAGAGTAGGTGATAATATCAAGTTGTTGAAAGCAGGTAAGGGGCGATGGTGACAAAAAAAAAACCTTGACTCTTAACTAGAGTTGAGCCAGTTTTGTGACTTAGCATCAACTCACACCTCAAGAGGCTGGAACCCACCACTTCCCACCTTGGACCCCAGAGAAGAACAAGGAGACACCTACTGCTTAGAATGATCCCTTCCCAGTTTCTGTGGTGAGAGGAGGCCCACGACTGGCTTGGGCTGCAGGGTCAGGTCAGGGGACCCTGGCGGTGGGCGTCTGAAGCTCTGCTCTGGCACCTGGATTGGAACCTAAAGAGGAAGTCACAGGTAGAGGGCCCAAGATGTCCTCCCTCCCTATGTAAGCAGCTCCTAAAATCTTTTTCTCTTCCAAAAGTGGGGATGATAGCTCCTGGACTGGCCAGGTCCTGGTAGAGGCTTTCTTTCTCCCAGTCTCTGTCCACCCTCCCTGCTCCCCTGATTGTAACACACATGCTCCTTACTTCCAGGCACACAGGACCTGACAGAATAGTTCTCCTTCCTGCACAGGATCTAAAAGCCTCCTAATGACTAAGATGTGACATCCAGGTAGAGAACCTGGGACTAAAGGGACTCTGTGAGTTGGGAGGAACATTTCTTCCAGTATCCCACCCGCTCCAAGTCCTACCTCTTGGGCTGGACATTCGTCCTTGTCCTCAGGGGGCTGCTCCTGGTCTGAAGAGTTCCCTTCCACGACCCTCTCCACCTGGGCCTCTGTCCCCAGGCTCTTTTCTTGAAGGACTATAGACCCTGGGTGCAGCTCCGGGGTGCAGGGCTGGCTAGGAAGGCGGGACGTTGGGGAGGAGCTTGGAAGGCTAAGAGGGAAATGAAGTTTGAGAGATGGGAAGTAGGGGCAGGTGGCACCAGGAGGTACAGAGCCCATAGTGATGGATGCTTGGGTAACAAATGGATAGTAGCTGAAGGGGGGAGGAGTCAGACATTTTCTAATTTAGGAAACAATGATACCCACCCCTTACTGTACTTTCTTTTGTATAGTAGATGCTGCTTATATGACCTGTGGTGTCATTCATTTGACACAGAACATTTTAGGTGACGCTCAGTGTGCTGGGTGCTGAGTGGGAGCCCCTAACCCTAGGTGTCAGAACAGAAGCAAGGAGTCCTAGCCCTCTGGAAGCTGGAGAGTAAGGGCTTTTCCTGCCAAGCTGAAAGACGAACATCGTATGGGCTGCAGAACTCACGGATGTTGTGGAAGGCCCGATTTGGGGGGCTGTGGAAGGTCTTGTTGTGGGGCCCCGGCTCCCGCCTCATACACTTGGAGCTTCTCCTTCAGAGTGGCCACCTAGAACCAAAGTAGCCAGCCTCTCAGAATCCCAGGTGAGCACAGGAGGTGGGGGTGGCCGTGCATAGAGCCCTGGCCACACCCCAGTGCCCCTGTCTGTCGCTCTCTTGCCCCGGAACCGGGGCACCCTGCTCCTGGCCCCAGGTGGACTCCTCACCTCAGCCTGGAGCTGCTGGCAGATGGTGGCATACTGGCTGATATGACAGTCCAGGCTGATCACATTGCTTTTCAGCTGAGATGGAAGCACAGGGAAGAGATGTGTTTGTTCATTCAAAGCAGCTTTAAGCAACCACTTCCCATGGCCAGGCGCTGCGCTAGGAGCCTCACTCGTATTCCCGTGACTCACCCTCATGACTGGGGAAGCGGAGCAGGGAAGGTCATCGGCTCGCCTGAGACTATAGCGAGAGGTACGGGTTGCCTTTGAACCCAAGACCCCTGATTGCCTGACAATACAATCTCACCAGGCTCGGGGCTTTTCAGCAGCAGCTCCGGGAGCACCAGGGCTCCCTGGAGGAGGCAGGGGAAGCTGGAGCAGCTCTGCTTTTATCTGTTATAGGTTGGTGTTTATGTTGTTTTGCTGAAAAACGGTCCTGCTGCTAAAAACAAGTCTAAACGTGATCACTGGCCAACACACGGCCACCCCGTCCTGTTGCTTCCCTCTTTAGACAATTCTGCCTCAGTCATCCCAATGCTGTGACATTTTACTCTTCTTCCAAGTCTTGGCGACTGTCCTGCCTCTCCCCACACTGGAGTCTTTCCAAGGATGAGGGCTGTGTCACTTCTACCACAAAAAACGTTCCTGAAGAGAGGTGAGGGAATGTCTTCCCTCTGCCTTGTTGGAATACTTGCTCCAGGCACCGGAGGAAGCTGATGGGTCCTGTCCCTTCCTCCTCCCAGCCTGGGGACTCCCCCCACACCAGGCCGGCCCTTTCCAGCTGCCACGCACCGAGAGCTTGATCTCCTTGGCCCGGTTGGCATACTTGAGGGTGTTGTAAGTGTCCTCGTAGGTCAGGCCAGAGGGGCTGATGGCAGCAATCATCACTGTGCGACAGTTGCCCCCGATGGAGTCCTTGAGCAGGCGGGTCAGCTTGCTATCCCGGTAGGGCACATGAGACTTTCGGCCCTGGAGGGCAGCGAGCAAGCATGGGGTGAGATGGTTGGGCTAGAGCCCAGGATGGGACCTGGCAGCCTCTGGCCCAGTGCTGGAGGGAGGGACCCTTGGCTTTAGGCACTCTCAGTGGCTGTCCTGGGGGGACCCTGCATCTATGCAGCTTTACCTTTGCATCGGCCAGGGCGTTGAGGACATTGATGAGGGCCAGCAGAGAGCGGTTGATGTTGGCACCCTCCCGCAGCCGCTCCCCCTTCGCGTGGGTGCTGGATGCCCTCTCTGAGCCAGCCAGGTCAATCAGGCTCATCTTGGCCACCCGAAGGGCCTGAGTCAGACCTGGAACCCGGTCCTGCTGTTTCACAAAGATCTGGGGGCAGAGGGAAGGGCTGAGGGAGTGCGGGACATCAGGAGCCCGTCTTCAGGCTGCAACCTACCACCCCTCTCACCTGGAAGATGGCATGGGAGCGGGAGGAAGTAGCGTTGGCGTCAGTGGGGTGCTGCGTGCGGTTCCGGTTCCCCCTGGTCAGCATCTCCAGCAGCTGCCTAGCTGAAGTTGGCTACAGAGGAGATGACCAGGCCGGGGGCTGTGGTCTCCCCCACCAGCACTTTCCCCCAACAGGATGGCTGCTCTTCAGAACCCATGTCACCCCCTTGCTAAGGGCACCCTCACGGGATCCAGGGCATCCCCAAACTGCCTGGCAAGAGAACCCCAGAGGACCCGTGGGATTGCTTGTATCGCCCAGGCCTAATCACACACCTGGTGGAAGGAAAGTCCTGGCACCACCACCCCCTTGTCGGGGTCCTCGCGGATGGCAAGGGGCCCCTTGGGCTCCAGGAGGTCATGGATCTGCTCATTATACACCTGAGGAGAAAGGAAGCAAGAGAGAGACCTGAGGAACAGGGCCAGTCACGAAAGCTCTCCCCTAGGGGCTGGGAGGGCTGAGCTGCTGGGCGGGGAAGCGTGGCCAGGCACCACCACAGGGTGGCATTTTGTGGGATGATGTTAAGTGACAAGCGCAGGAGGCGCAGGTTTAGTTCAAATGCAGTCTCTGAGCTGTAACTGCCCTCTGGGCTCTCACTGGGCCCCCATGTACCCCCTTCCTACCGCCCTCTTCCCCACCTGCTCACTCCACTCCTCTCTCTCTTGAGGTGATTGTGAGAATGAGGGATGGGGTCACCCAGTCCCAGGGAGGGGACAGCCCTACCTCCTGGTAGCTGATGAGCACCTCGAATTGCTTCTCCTCCTGGCAGGCCTCCAGGCGCCTGTACAGTTCCATGGTGGTCAGGTACATGATGCCGGGGTCCCCCTCTCTTCCCAGCATGGTGTGTGTCTTTCCAGCCCCAGTGGCCCCATAGGCAAACACTAGAGGAGAGAGTAGGGATTAGGGTGGCGGCGGGGCCAGCTCCGATGTCTCCAGTGGCTCCCTCTGCGCATTTCCACCCAGCTCACCCTTCCCCCCTCTCCAAGCCCTTCCCTTGCCTTCCATCTGCACAGTCCCACTGCTCATACCCACTTGCATCCCCCACATTTGTACTGTAGCTTTTAAGTTCTCCACGTCTATGTCCTGGCTCCCCTATAGGCCTGTGGATTCGAGGGCAAAGGGGTCCCCACTGTGGGTGGGGGCCTCTCCCTCCCTCAGGGAAGCCTTCTCCAGTCCAGGTGTCTTCCTCTGTTGAAGGCTCATAGCTCTTTCCCTTATATCACTTCCTTTGGTTTATAGCCACACATTTGTGGGTACCATTTTGATTAGTGTCTTCTTCCCTCTCTAGACTGGAAGCAGCAAGAGGAACCATGTCTGTTCTACTGTTAAATCCCAGGGCCCAGGAGAGTGCCTCACACAGGAAAAGAATGAATGGGGGACCCACAGAGCACGCAAGGGCCAGAGCCCTCCTCAACAAGTGCCCAGCTGACAGGGAGGTGGGCGCTTGTTGGAAAACACGTGAAACCCTGAAAAGGAAGCAGCGGGGCAAGGCGGCTACCAGCTCTTCCTCCTCACCGCCCAGATTCTCACCTGAGCAGTTGTAGCCCTGGAGGAAACTGTCCAGGATGCTGTGGGTGGTGTGCTGGAACACGTCCTGTTGGGTGGCTGCCTCACCAAAGACCCGGTCAAAGACAAACGTCATGTCTTTGCCCTTCTTCTTGGGGCCGTCATGGGTGCTACCCCATTTCAGGCCGAGGAAGCCCCCCTCGGGCTCCTCAGGGTCAAACACCAGCACCTGCTGGTCCACCACCTGAACCACAGGCCTCCGCTGGCTCTCCAACTCGCGAGGGGTGGGGGGCCGCACCCTCACCACAACCCGCACCATGCTGTCCTCCACCGCCATCACCATGGCAACACCTGGGCAGAGATACAATGGAGATGAGGACCAATCTGCCCGGGGCTTGCCCAGATGTCTCGCAGCCTAGCATTCAAGGCTTCCTCCCACGTCTTTTGCAACAGCTGATCTCCGTTTTATACCTCAAGAGAATAAGAATATTGGTGCCAGCACCGATTACTAATAAATATCTCTTTTTCACTTGAAATACCACCTTTGTCGTTTCTAAATGACTATATATTTTTCAGAGGCCTATTACTGGGCTTTCTATTATATTCCACTAATCTGTTCACTCCTGTGCCAACCCCATACTGTTTGCATTCCATTCCTTTACAGTATGCTTTTCACTTAGTAAGGCACGACTCCCCCCAACTCCACTAGTCTTTCTTTTTCATGATTTTCTTGGCTATTTTCAAATGTTTATTATCTTATCCATCCCTAACCCAGAACATCCCACCCACCACCTAAAAAAACTCTATTGGGATTACAATTGGAATTGCATTACATTTAAGTATTTTTTTTTTTTATAGTTTTTTTTTTTTTTTTAAGATTTTTATTGGGAAATTGGGGGGATGGGAACAGTGCTGGGGAATTGGGGAAAGGGGAACAGACAAGTTGCTGTCGTTTTTTTGTTCTTCAGTCTAGTTGTGGAGGACGTTGCTTCACTGGCCCAAGTTGGCACCTTCATTGCGCTCTTCTCTGGCGAGGCAGATCAGTCGCCGGCTTCTGGACGGCCGCTCACTGCAGCTGCTGGCCGCTCACGCTGGCTGCTGGCCACACACGGTAGCCCATGGCAATCCACTGCCACAGGGACTGCAGCCCACGCCGTCGCCGGCGACTCATGGCAGCCCAGCTCCAGGTTGAGCTGTTGTTCAGCATCTTAGCTGTAGAGGGCAGTGTCACTGGCCCTCATATGTGGGATCCGAACCGGAGCCCTCTGGCATCCCAAGCGAGTTCTTAACCATCGCGCCACTCGGCCGGCCCTACATTTAAGTATTTATTTTATATTAAACCTTTTCATGCAAAAACATGGCTATTGCCTTCCTGTTTGTTCAGATATTTTTTATGTCTCTCAATAAGATTTTGTAGTTTTCTGTCTCTTCAGACAGATTCTGTAATTGCCCTTTTAATATAATTCCCAAGTACTTTCTAGATTTAACTGCTCTTATGAATGGAACACCTCCCCCTATCTCCATTTCCACATGGTAATTGCTAGTATGGAGAAACATGATTGATTTTTATATATTTTCCTTATAACCACCACCCTCAAACTCTCTCATTAATTCCAATTTTTTTTTAAATTAGGGATTATTGGGTTTTCTGAGTATGCAATTAGTATATCAGAAAAGAAAATTTTTTTACCTTTTTTCTGTATATTTTTTCTGTATATTTATATCTTGTCTATTGCAATCCTTAAAACTTCCACAACAACGATAAATAATGACAATGGGCATCCCAGTCTTGTTCTTGATTTTAAAGAAAATGACTTTAGTGCTTCACTATTTAGAAATTTGTTTTGGATAGTCATCATACTAGTAATTATTTCTATTCTTATTTTACTTAGAGTTGTTATTACAAATATCTAGAATTTTACCTAATGCTCTTTCAGCATCGCCTGATATGTGTTTTTTCTCCTTTATTTTGTTGATGTGGTAAATCGATATCCTCATATCAAACCAACCACACATTCTTAGAAAAAATACTACCCTGATCATACTGAAGTTTTAAATTTTCAAACGGTCAAATATATCAACTTTTTCTTTTATGGTTTTTACATCATATTTAAGAAGATATTCTTTCCCCAAGATAATAAATACTTTTATTATATTTCTCCTAATATTCTTTCTTTCTTACATTTAGGCCTTTATACAGGTGGAATTGATTGACTGATTGATTGATTGTGTGAGGTTTCTAAATTTCTTTCCAAATGGTAAGCAATTATCTCAAAATCATATATTAAACAGTCTATCCTTTCTCCACCAATTTGAAATGCCACATTTAACATAACTAAATTCTCATATAAATTTGTTTTTGGATTCTCCATTCTGTTATACTGATATGTCTATTCCTTTTCCAATAACTCACTGTGGTAATTACTGTGGTTCTATATCTCACCTCATTGTTCTTTTTCTTGACTATTCTTTTTTTTTTTTTTAAAGATTTTTATTGGGGAATTGCGGGGATGGGAACAGTGCTGGGGATTTGGGGGAAGGGGAACAGACAAGTTGCTGTCATTTTCGTTCTTCAATCTAGTTGTGGAGGATGTTGCTTCACTGGCCCAAGTTGGCACCGTCATTGCGCTCTTCCCGGGTGAGGCAGATCAGTCGCTGGCTTCTGGACGGCCGCTCACTGCGGCTGCTGGCTACACACGGTAGCCCATGGCAACCCACTTCAGCAGTGGCTGCAGCCTACGCCGTCGCCGGCGACTCATGGCAACCCAGCTCCAGGTTGAGCTGTTGTTCAGCATCTTAGCTGTGGAGGGCAGTGTCACTGGCCCTCATATGTGGGATCCGAACCGGGGCCCTCTGGCATCCCAAGCGAGTTCTTAACCATCGCGCCACTCGGCCGGCCCTTTCTTGACTATTCTTGGGCACCTTGTTCTTTTTTTTTTTTTTATTGGGGAATTGGGGGAAGGGGAACTTACACTTTGCTGTCCTTTTGTTCTTCAGTCTAGTTGTGGAGGACGTTGCTTCACTGGCCCAAGTTGGCACCATCATTGCGCTCTTCCTAGGCGAGGCAGATCAGTCGCCGGCTTCTGAACGGCCGCTCACCGCGGCTGCTGGCAGCTCAGGCTGGCTGCTGGCTACACACGGTAGCCCATGGCAACCCACTTCAGCAGTGGCTGCAGCCTACGCCGTCGCCGGCGACTCATGGCAACCCAGCTCCAGGTTGAGCTGTTGTTCAGCATCTTAGCTGTAGAGGGCAGTGTCACTGGCCCTCATATGTGGGATCCGAACCGGGGCCCTCTGGCATCCCAAGCCAGCTCTTAACCAACGCGCCACTCGGCCGGCTCTTGGACATCTTGTCTTGCATATGATTTTAGAATCAGCTTACAGAGTTAAATGAAAAATCCTGCTAAGATTTTAATTGGGATTACTTTGAATTTATAGATTAATATGAGGAGAAATAGTATCTTTATAATATCAAATCTTCCCATCTAGGAATATAGTTATCTCTTTTCATTATTCACAACTTTATAACCCTCAATAAAATTTTATACTTTTCTTCACTTGAGTTTTGTGTATTTCTTGATAGGTTTATTGCTAGTTATTGTATAGTCTTTATTATATTGTGAATAGGCTCTTTTTAAAATCACATTTTCTCATTCATTTTTGCCAGAATATAGGAAAGCAATTGATTTCTGTATGCAGATCTTGTATCTGGCCACATTACTGAACTCCCTTATTAGTTCTAATAGATTGTCATTGATTCTCTTAGGTTTTTCAATTAAATGATGGTATAGTTTGCAAGTCATAGAGTTACTTTCTATTTTTAGCTCTTCTATATTTAGTTTCCCACCCTTCACTGTCCATTAGGAATGAGTGTTAAATTTTATCAAATGCTTTTTTGGCACTGGCTGAGATGATAACAGTGTTTCTCCTTTAATCTGTTAATGTAGAGAGTGACATGGACAGATTTCCTAATGTTGACCTGGTGATAATTCCAAACACTTACTTGCTTATTCCCTCTTGTAGTCCCCTCAGACCTCTCTCCTTGGTCTTTTCATTTCTCCTTCAAGGCAGCCTACCAAGGGTAGAGATGGAATTTTGGCATGCAGGAGTCACAGATCTCCTGGAAAAGTTCAACCCAGTTCTCCGGGTACATTAACAGGGGTAAGAAACAGAGACTGTTCCTGGGGGATTTGAATAGACGAATGCTTTCCCAGGAAACACAAGGTCCCACTGACAGGACCAAGGTCATTCAGCAAAGAAAAGTGGAATTTCTACCTAATAATCCAGCAAATAACTCATGTTTTCCTTTGGGAATGAAGCAGAATGGAGCTGATTTGAAACTCCTGTCCCCCACCTCCAAACTTCATAATTTCTTCACTACACAAAACAAGATAGCAACCAACAATAATCTTTTTCCGTGTGTATTTTTTTGCCTGTCCCAGCAATTGGACTGCCATAATAATAAACACAATAGCTGTCTGCTTATCCACTATGCCAGGTACTGCTTTTAAGCACCTTACAAGTATCACCTCCTTTCATCTCCATCACAATCTCACAAGATAGATACTATTATTATACTCATTTTTCAATGGGAAAATTGAGACAGAAAAGGATAAGCAACTTGCCCAAGATCCCAATGCTAGTAAATGATAGAGCCTAGTTCCGACCCAGGCAGTCTGACTGCAGAGACTGTATACTGCCTTATAATGATGATATTATATATTATGCTCTCATGATCACATTGTTGATAGTCCCTTATGTTTGTGTAATAATTAGAATCCCTTTTATGTAACTAGCATAATGTATTCTGCACTTTCAGACATATAGACAATTCTTAATTTTCAACACTCCCATCCTCTCATTCCCACCCCCGGGGGAGCCCCACTGTTGATACCCAGGGAAATGAAGGCTGAGGGTGCCTGGCCCCACCGTCTGGGTCTACATTGGCTGCCTTAATGGCCCTCCCAGCTCCCCTACAGGGAGGAGGAGGAGCCACAGAGCAGACTAACATTCTAAGCAGGAAATTATAAAGGGCACTGGCAGCAGAGTGTGCATAACCTTTACAGTTCTCTCCTCACGGCTTCCTGAGGGCCAGTGAGGCAGGCGGTTTGCCTAATGAGATGTTTTCCTTCTTCCTGAGACAGCGCTAGGGGCATAGGGTTGGGGTGGGGGGACACTTGGCATGGCCGCAGCTAGGACACCTGGGTCCTGGTCTCTGCATCTGACTGGTGGGGTGGTCTTTCCATCAGCCACACCAGGTCGATGCTTCCCCCTTTGAGAGCCAGAGAGAACAGTTAACTATCTGCTCCCGCCCCAGGGGAATGGGGAGATTAATGAGAGAACGTTTGTCAAGTTTGCTTTGATCCTCGGCTGGAAAGAGCATTTCAGCCCAAAGTACAAGAGAGATGATTCTTTAATAAGATCTTCAGGGTTCTGAGCCAGCCACAGTCACGTCCTGTTTCTAACCCAGGGCAGCTCATTAAAACCCAGAGGCTAGTTCAATCCTGAGCTGGGGCTGGGAAGTCAAGATTCAGTTGTTTTCAGGATAGCTTCCTCTGCCCACCATCAGAGACACAGGTGGAACAAGTCCAAGCTCCTCAGAAGGCCCTGGAGAAGAATTTCTGAGGACTTGAGGGGATCCGCCTGCAGAGCTGGGAAAGTGGGGCAGGTGCCTAGCCCTTGCATGCTCTTTTTTTATAGGGGTTGCTGTAGTCCCCTTCATCGCTAAGTCAAAACGCTCACACACTTGTGTTTCTTGTCCTTAAGCGCTAAGAGAACAGGATCCTCTGATATATATATATATATATATATATATATATATATATATATATATATATATATATATATATATATCTCGTCTGCTCATCGCAGATGCCTAGGCACCAAACCCAGCTGTAGTAAAGGCTGTATAAGTTTGTCCTATGAATGAATAAAGGCCAGAGAAGAGCAGAGTCTGAATCCAAAAGCCTAAAAATAATTACTATTACAGCGAACATTTATTGGTGCTTACTATGTATCAGATACTATGCTAAGTGCCTTACAAATGGTGTCCTTTAACTTTCACAACAATCTCATTCTGCAGTTACATCCCGACTCTACAAAGGAAACTAAGGCTCAGGAAGGAACTTGTCATATGGATGGTAAGTAGCAAGGCCAGAACTTGACCTTGTTCAGACTGTCACCAGAAGCATTGCTCTTCATCCTAGACCATTCTACCCTGTAGCTGGGCTTTTGTGGCTCCTATCTCCGTTCATTCTGGTGCCCAGAGGACAATGTCCAAAGACCACTGGCTCTTTCTATGGTTGGGTTGGTCTTCACACAAAAGAACTGGGCTCTTTTTTTTAAAAAGACAGTCATAAGGCAGTAACTGATGACAGTTTTGTTTATTCCTTTCTAATCTTATTTTTATTTATTTCTCTTATCTTCCATTGGGTTTTCGGAAAAGTCATGATGTATTTTTTCTATGTTTTTCGTTGCAAAAATGTGACATGACTTTTCCAACAACCCAATAGTTATGGCTAGGACCTCCGGTACAATATTGAATAGGGACAGCAATAGTGAGCAATCTTATCTCTTTACTGATTTTATAGGGAATGTTCCTATTATTTCATTTTTTGTTGGTTTAAGAAAATTTACCTCTATTTCTAGTTTACCAAATTAAAAAAAAATCATTAATGGGTATTGAATTTTATTGAATTCTATTTCTGTGCCTAATGGGATGTTTTCTCCTTTAATCTGTAATTATGTAAATTGTATTAGTAGATTTTCTAATGTTAAACTATTCTCACATTCCTGGGATAAACCCAAGTTGGTCATAATGTATTTTTTTTTATATTACATTGCTGGCTTCTTTTTTTTTAGCTGAGCCATCCTGCCACCTGTTGGCAGCTCAGCGGCTGCTCAGCTCGGGCCGGGAATCGAACCGCTGTTGCTCAGAGCTCGCACTCTTGAGTGAGCTCTTAACCAACTGAGCCACTCAGCCGGCCCTTACATTACTGGCTTCTGATTGCTAATATTTTATTTAAGATTTTTACAACTACATTTATTGGCTTGTAATTTTCTTTGTCTCATTTTTGGTATCACAAAATAGACTGAAAGTGTTTTCTGTTTTTTTTAGAGAGACAGAGTTTGTAAAAGATTAGAATAATTTCTTCCAATTGGTTTTAATTTTTTTGGTGGATTTTAGCAGGGGGAGAGGGGTTGATGGGTGTGACAATTTCCTCAATGGTCATAGGTTTGTTCAAGATTTCCAGAACTTCTGGGCCAGCCGAGTGGCACATTGGTTAGGAGTTGGCTTGGTACGCCTGCTCTGAGCAGCAGGACTAGGTTCGGATCCCACATGTAGGCCAGTGACACTGTGCCCTCTACAGCTAAGATGGTGAACACCTGGAGCTGGGCTGTCATGAGTCCCCGGGAACCCCGTAGGCCAGCAGGGACTGGCTGTGAGCTGCTGGTGAGCCACCGCGAGTCGTCCAATGGCCAGTGAGCAACTGCCTCACCGGGGAAGAGCGTAATGATAATACCAACATAGGCCAGTGAAGTGATGTCCTCCACAACTAGACTGAAGAACAAGAGGACAGCAACTTGTCTGTTACCCTTCCCTGATTCCCCAATAAAATCTCTAAAAAAAAAAAAAAAATTCCAGAACTTCTGAATCAGTTTTCGTAAGTTGTTTTTTCCTAGAAAATTGTCCAAAAACATTGTCAGAAAGAGTGTTTTATTGAAGATTCACTCTCTCCCTCTCTCTCTAAATTTCTCAGTCATTAAAGTCAGGTCCCTATTTTTATTCTTAAGAGCATTTTTCTATGATTCTTTTCTTTATTTCTTAATCAAATATTGCTAGAGGTTTGGCTTTTTATCAGTCTTTTTAAAGGTACGGCTTTTGGCTAAGTTAATCCTATTATGTAGTAAAATTTCATTTCATTAATTTCTGCGCTTAACTCCTTTTTATTTCCTACACATTCATTCTGTTGTTCTGTTTTATCTTAACTAAGTTGGATATTTGCCTCACTAACTTTCAGCTTTAAAAAGTGTTCAAATGTAAGCACTTAAGACTATAAATTACCCTCTAAATATTGCTTTAACTGTATCCCACAAATTTTACAAATAGTATTATCACTGTTCCATGTTAATTATCTTTTAATTCCAATTATGATATCCTATTTAACGAAGTGGTTTTTTTTTTAAATAGTCAAACATGGGTTTGTTTTCTTTTGTATTTTTAACTTAATTGCTTGTGGAAAGAGAATATGATTTGTACTCTGATAATCATCTAGATTTGCTTTGTGGCCAGATAGAGACAATTTTTATAACTACGTCTAAAAATATGCTACTTGTATACTTTTTTAAAAAAGATATAAATGAAGCCAGCCCAGTGGCGCATTGGTTACGAGCTAGCTTGGGACGCCAGAGTGCCCCGGTTCGGATCCCACATATGAGGGCCAGTGACACTGCTCTCTGCAGCTAAGATGCTGAACAACAGCTCAACCTGGAGCTGGGCTGCCATGAGTCGCTGGCGACGGCGTAGGCTGCAGCCCATGCTTCAGTGGGTTGCCATGGGCTACCGTGTGTAGCCAGCAGCCAGCGTGAGTGGCCGTCCAGAAGCCGGCAACTGATCTGCCTCGTCAGGGAAGAGCGCAATGATGGTGCCAACTTGGGCCAGTGAAGCAACGTCTTCCACAACTAGACTGAAGAATAAAAGGACAGCAAAGTGTCTGTTCCCCTTCCCCAATTCCCCAGCTCTGTTCCCATCCCCCAATTCCCCAATAAAATCTTTAAAAATAAATAAAATTTAAAAAAATAAAAAGATATAAATGGAGCTGGGTTGGTTGAGACACCTTAAAATGTCTGAGTGTGTGGTAATTCAATAACGAAATAGGTAAAGAAGGACTCGATAAGTTGGTAGTTGAAGCATGGGATGTGGTGAAGGAAAGAAAATAGAACAGGATTGGAAAAAGTAGTGAAAACTGAGGAGCAGTTCATTCGGAAAAATTGTGTAGCTGTTCTCCTCTGAGCTAGGCTTAACGTCTCTGTTTCCCAACCCATGAATGTAAATAATACTAGTATATATCCCATAGGGTTGTTGTGAGGATTAAATGAGTTCATTCAAATCTGGTAAGTGCTCAGTAAATGTCAGCAATTATTATTGGGATAAATATGACATACGACATTTCCCCATGATGCCAGAAGAACTAATGTCTTCAGTAAAATCCCCCACGTTACCCGTGGCACAGACCAAGGCTTAATCTTTTCCAAGTCGCTTCACTATCTTAACAGGTCAAAGCGGAGAGGATGCATCCTAGCAGCAGTCACAGAAAACATGGTTTTCTGTCATACAGATATTCTTTCATTCCTTCATTTAGTCAATCAAATATTTACTAAGTGCCTGGTAACTAAGTTACTGCAACTCTGCAATCAGTTCTTCTGTACAGATGTGCGGTGAAGGTCTTAGCTACTCTACCCAGATGTGCAGGGGATCCCAGATCTCCAGATCTCCAGATCTAGTGCACAGGAAGACCCAATTCTTCCTTACACGAGCACAGGGACCTTTCACACAGCAGATGCACAGAGTACAGAGGGCCGGGCCGGGCTGGGTGCAGATGTGCGGACCCAGTCTAGGTCCGGTACAAACGAGCGGGTTCCAATTTCCCACGCATATATGGAAGGAAGCGCCCAGCTCTCGGCATTGCCCCACGCCCTGTTCTGAGGGGACCATGCAGAGCCCTCCACACTGCACTTTAGTGTCCCGCACAAAAGAGATCGGGCTGGGGCTGCAGCACCGACCAGCTGGGTCCGCGCGTCCCATACCCGAGCGCAGGAGCCCGCAAGGCCAGCGCTTACCCTTTGTCGGTTCCCTGCCGCTTGTATCGCCGCTCACGGCCTGGTCCCTGGGCCGCAGATAGGAGACCGGGGCCACAGGAAAGTGCTCCCCACACACTTCCTTTACAGGCGCCAACCTCCACCCGCGCCGCGCTTTCAAATTAGCCGGGTTGGCTCATCCGCGCTTCCCATTGGTCACAGCCCAGATCGCTGATTGGCTGTTTCCTAAGTAACACAGTACACCCGGTGGCGGGCGCTGTCAACAGTGCGCTTGCGCACTTCCCATTCCGGCTGGCTGGAGGAGGTTTTGAGGCAGTCTCCGAGGCTGGACGAACCCGACGGACACTCAGAAACCAGTACAGGGTTGGGGTCCAGGGATAGGCCACGGCCCATCTCTGTAGTCCCTGGGACCGGGTTCATCACCAAGTGCAGCAGCCAGACATCAACACTTTTTCAAACCTGCTTTTTTTGTGGGCTAGGGCGGCATCTGCTCATCCAAGAAAGAGACTTTTTAGCTATTGTCCAGAGTCTCTTCTCGCTCCGCGACCATCTCAAGAATGAACTTCGAGAGCAGGCTTGATGTGGAGAAGCCTCAGCCAGCTTCTGCCCGCTTGGCTTTGACAGTGTCAGAAGAATGTCAGGACTGATTTATTGTCGAATATGAGGGCCTTTAGAGCACCGCTGGGCAGCACTGTCTCCATCCTCACAGCCAGCCACTGCTTGGATTCTGGTGGGCCAACTTCATGCTGATTCCCAGCACCTGAGGTTGTGGGAGTGGAAGAGAGTCTTGCACTGGAATCGGGAGTCCTGATCCTTTTCACTAGTGGCTGAATCACTAATTAGTGCTGAGACTGTGGAAGTCACTTCTGCTCTCTGTGTGTCAGTTTTCTCATCTATAAAATGGGGCAAATATCCTGCCCTTCCACTCACCTAGAAGAGCATGGATAAGAAAGTCCTCCAAACTCCCTACATATGTAAGGGGATAGCTTTCTATGAATCTGATTAGAATGAAATAGGTGATGGCTGCCAGGAGCCAGTTACTCACCACTTTCCATTAAAATGATCTACCAGGAGCCAGTTGCTCACCACTTTCCATTAAACTGATTTGTTCCCACACTGGGACCATGAGCAGGTCTGAGCCATGCAAGAAAGCGGGAGGCAAAATTGCCTTAGTGGACCTGCCATCAATACTAAGTAGAGTCACTATTTAATACCTGGTTGATTTGGCCCAAACTCTTCATTCACCTACTTGGACCTCAATTGCCCTCTCTGTACAATGGGATAACACTGCTAGTTTTGTGAGAATAAAATGAGAAAACTATGCAAGGTGCTGTTATTATAAAGCTACAAGAAAACCAAGGTATTCTTGCTATCTCTACTACTCGAGAAATGAATCTGTTAAAGAATGGCTTCCAGATAGGTGTCCTCTTCCCTCTCACAAAGATGTACATTTTAACAGAGGTTTAGCGGTGTGGTGGAGGGTTTGGGGTACCCAGGAGCCTTCAGGGGAACAGGTGCCTCTTGTGTCCCATAAGCCAGGTCTTGCCCTGGTACACTTCTGGTTTGGACAATTACCTGGAGAAGGTGAGGTGGGTCAAGGTGAGGAAAGGAGCAGAGACTGGCTCTGCTGTCAGTGGGAAGTGGCATGTAAGCTGAGGTCTGAAGGAGGAAGAGAGCTGGTTTGGCAAAGGGAGCTGTTCCTTGGATCTCAGAAGCCAAGGGAAAGAATTTGCAGGTGAGTCAACTGAGCCCATAATGCTGAGAGGCCTTGATAGGTCTTGGCCAGGCCCACTTTAGTAGACACATATGGAAAATCCCTGGGCTCTACACCATAGATGCTGACAAGGGGAGATGGACCTGGTACTGACCCAACAAGAATTTCAAGGCTTAGAACCCAGATGTGAAGTCTGGGTGCAGAATTTTTGCCTTGTATGGTGGCAGAAGATGTTCCTGGGCTGATACGACTGGGGGTGTGAAAGGCAACTGGCTCTGTGCTCTTGTGAGGTGTATGGATATCTCACTATTTGTAACTGGCAAGACCACCAGCTCTAGCTGCTCAGAGGAGACAGAGGGGAGGCTCATCCTTTCACCTGCACCCTTATCTCTGCATGCCCTTTGTGCTAAGGTGTAGCATTAGCGTTTCAGATATAGACTAATTTTAAAAGGTCTTTGAACCAAGTCCAAGACATCATTCTTGCCATCCTTAAACATGGGCCAGATGTCAAGGTCTGCTAGCACAGAAGTCAAGCACAAGGAGGTCATAGGTGGCCTTGGCAGGAGCATTTTCAGAAGACTGGCAGCAGCCAGATCAGAGTAGGAGGTGAGAAAAAAGTAACAACTCTTTTAAGGCATCTGGCTGCCAAAGGGAGCAGAGACAGGAGGTAGTAGCTGGAGGGGATGTGGGGTCAGAGGTGGATTTTTTTTTTTAAGATTTTTATTGGGGAATTGGGGGATGGGAACAGACAAGTTGCTGTCGTTTTGTTCTTCAGTCTAGTTGTGGAGGACGTTGCTTCACTGGCCCAAGTTGGCACCATCATTACGCTCTTCCAGGGCGAGGCAGATCAGTCGCCGGCTTCTGGACGGCCGCTTACTGCAGCTGCTGGCTACATACGGTAGCCCATGGCAACCCACTGCCACAGGGGCTGCAGCCTACGACGTCGACGGTGACTCAGGGCAGCCCAGCTCCAGGTTGAGTTGTTGTTCAGCATCTTAGCTGTAGAGGGCAGTGTCACTGGCCCTCATATGTGGGATCTGAACTGGGGCACTCTGGCGTTCCAAGCCAGCTCTTAACCAATGCGCCACTCGGCCAGCCCCAGAGGAGGATTTTTAAGGATAGGAGAGATTTAAATCATGATGGGAAGGAGCTGATACAGACTGAGCAGTTGAAGATTAATAGAGAGGTGTGATTACCAATTAAGTGAAGTTCCCAAGAAGGTGAGAGGTGGAGTGATCAACCATCTCACTTTGCCCTGCTGGGACTGAGGATTTAACAGAATATGGGACTTTCAGTTTTAAAACTGGGGCAGTCCAGGACAAACAAGGATAGATTGGTCATGATGGTGAGAGGTCCCAGATGCAGAGCACAGTGTCAGGCTGGGCCCTGGAAGAGGGGAGAGCTCTTCTATGGAGGCAAAAAGGAGGAAAGGAGGGGCACAGTGCAGGGAAGTTCGTGTTTTATGGTGGAAGTTGATGGAGTCTCCTTCTAATGGCTTCTGACTTCTCTGGGAGGTAGAAGATGTGATCACCCATTGAACAGTTAGCTTCACACTTCATCTGCTACCTTTGTTGCTGGATCTGAAACCTAATAGTTACTCAATAAAATTGGCTGAAAGAATCAATAAGTGAATGAGACTGGAGGTAGGTGTCGCAGGTTGGGTACTCCTAGGAGCAGACTCTGAGATGGAGAGCATCACTGTGCAGGAAGTTAATTGGGGAATACTCTTGGAATTAACAACTGTGGAAGAGAAGAGAGAGCAGGATTGGGCAGAGGGAGAAACTGAGCTGGAAGCTCTGAAGCTGGGAAGATTCTTCACAGTTGTCATGAGTTGAAACCTGCATGTTGATCAGTCATTGGAAGCAGGCTGTCCTGACAAAGGGGCAGGACCTTGAGGAAGGCAGCTCACATGAACAGAGCCGATCCCCAGAGGGGGCTGGTAGCCGAGAGCCATCTGCTGGCAGCACTCCCAGCAGCTGGGAGAATAGATCCTCAGTCCTAAAGGAGACCTGGGAGTTTATGGAGAGTGTGAGATATTTGAAATAGTTGCTATTATGGTAGAATAGTTATAATGTGGCAGGCACAATGTTAGGTATTGAGTAAGCCACATGTCCTACTTGGAGGATGCTCTCAGTATGGCCTTGGAGACAGGCAGATAGATGACTGCTGCGAGAGTCAGGAGGGCTTCTTGGAAGAGCAGGCAATGGACTTGGGCTTTGAATAATGAGCAGGTGTTCTGCAGGCAGCTGATGTAGCCTAGGACCGAGCAGACCCATCCCTGGCTCTGGGGAGGCAGAGAGAGGTCTGTAACTCTCCTGGCCTAGGGAGTTGTCCTAGTCCAGGCTGGGGCTCCTCACTCAGGGAGCAAAGAGGTCTGTGCCCTGAGGGCCTGGCCCTTCACTATCTGGGAAAAGGCAGGATCCCTACCCTTGTACAAGTTGCCCAGGCAACAGGCATTGCAGGAAGGGATGTGTCTGGTGACCTCGGGGAGGAAAGGTAGCTCTGGCTGGGAGGGAGGGAGATTCAATCCTTCCCCTACTCCAGGGAATGGCCAGTCAAGAGAGCTGTTCTCAGAAAGAGTAAGCTATGCAATCTTGAGCAAGTTAATTCACCTCCCTGTGCCTCAGTTTTCTCATCCAAAAAATGGGTGTGGCAATGGTAACTACCTTGTGGGATCATTGGGAGATTTAAATGAATGAATACATGTAAAATGCTTAGAACAGTTCATGGTACATAAGCTACTATTATAACTTAGCTATTGATACAGACAGTGATAGGAGTATATGTTGTTCCTCCAGCTCCAGTATTCCCCAAGCCCTTGGACAAGAGAAGAGAAAACCCTCAGCTGCCTGGTTTCTACTCGCCAGCCCTTCCCCAAAAGGACAGTTTTAGTAACAACCTGGGAGTGGTGGCCCAGATTTTGGGGGGATATATACTTGTAAAGCCTTTCCAAACATAATGTAAGTAAAAAAAATGTAAGCCTCCACTTAGTCCAGCTCCCTCAGAAGTAACCTCTGTTAACAGTTTGGGGGGCCCTCCCTGGCCCTCTAATAGCACCGTGTCCTGGATGTACCTATGTGATCCCTGGGGTACCTTGAAACTGGGTGGTTTCTTATCCATCTTTGGATCCTCTATACCAAGCTACAGCCTGGCCCATTGGAGGTGTTCAGTAACGCTGAAGCAAGCAGAGCAAGTAGAGACAAGGCTGGTCCATAGCCTTGGGGGTATCCCTGTGCTCTCACTCCAAACTAGAGGCCACAGAGCAAAAGGTTGGGGGGATCCACATTGAAAACTGGAGGACTCAGTGCACTCTGCTCCCAATACTTAGCTCCAAATCCTGGGTACCCCAAACCAACGCCTCCCCTAGTGCCTTACATTCACTTTGGGGTTACCAGGGGGTGGGGTGGGGTAACAACCCAGGTGTCTTCACCTTCTTTGATGATCAGTATCACCATCTCAGGCATTGAAGTGCAGCCAAAAGAATTTCAAATCATGGATCTCAGGAGACTTAGGTTGTAATAATAAAAACATGTTTGCAGTTTGCTGCAAAACTTACAGACAGGTTCTCACCCACTGCCTTACAATAGCCCTTTAAGTAAATTATTATCCAGCCCCGTTTTATAGATGGAGAAACTGAGGTTCAGAGAGGCGAAGTGTCTTTTCCCGAAACACTGAGTGTAGCCAGGACTTGAGTTCCGTGCTTCTGTTTCTAGTTGCTGCATATCTAGTGGGGTCCTGTTGTTCTAGCACGACCCTGAACCAACCTGACCAAATTTGGGTTCCTCTCTGAGTCTCAGTTTTTCCAGCTGTGTAATGGGAGTTGTCCATTCTGTGGCTTTGGCTCTCAGTGTTGGCAGCGGGGCAAATGGGTAGTGTGTGGAAAGCAGGAGGGGCTAGTAACCCCTCTTGTCCGTTTTTCCTCCAGCCTCCAGCTGTCCCCTTTCTGTAATTCTTCTACCTCTCAGTTCCAAATGTGTGTAGACTTTTCACTTCCACTTTATTAGCACCTCATTTGTAGGATTTCAAGGTTTGCTACCTGGAAGGGAGTGAGGAACTCACACCTCCAGTTCCGCTTTTCAAATATACCTTCATTGCTTGTGAAAATAACCTTATTAACAGCATCTAACCTGCTACAGCTTATGAGGGCACCCAGATAAATAAATGCACAAGGAACGAGGGCAGGGGAGACAGCACGGCTAGCTGGGGTAGTGCAGCCTCTGGAACCCTGTGATGTTCTCCCAGCCCTTAGAGATCCTGTAGCTGTTGTCAGGGTCAGTAGAACATGGGTGAGGCCCAGAGTAGCCAAGAGCAATTGGCCACTTTGGGTCCTCGCCTCCTGCCTCCTCTTCCTCTGGTGCTCAGAGATCCTCCCAGAAACAGCTCCCATACCTCTGCAGCTCCCCTATCTCCCGGACACTTATCCAGGATTGATTCTCTGGGCAGCTCCCCCTCTGAGCAGTAAATGAAATATTGGTTACCAGGAGTGAAGCAGGAGGCAATTAACCCCTAGACCTCGCCATGGCAGATGTGTTTGTAGCAAGCTGAGGCAGGGAGAGCCAAGTGCACCTGCCTGGCCTTCCTGCAAAGTCATCCAATTAGGGCAGCCCCCAGAGGTGGGCTCCCACTGCCCCTTCTGGTCCCCATGACCCTAGAAACCAGGGCAGCATTAGCCCCTAGGGCTGGCAACTGCTTGGGAGCAGGTTGGCCTGCCATTCCTTGTGTGGGTAAGCTCCAGGAACACCTCCATCCTCACACACCCCTGGCAGAGACATTATTCATTAATTAATCACACATATTTCTAAAAAGGAGGCAGCCTGGGAGTTTTCTTCCTTCCTTTCTCCAGAGTGGGACAGCCATTCTGACTGTCCAACCTCCCTTCTACCACCCAGCCAGCCCTGCGCTTTGGAATGTTCCTGTGCCAGAAAAGCACCAGACTGAGAAGGGGAGACACATGCCTGCTTTCAGGGAGCCTCCAGTCTGAGGGGGAGACACAGCTCTTGCTCTCAGAGAGCCCCCAGTTGGATGAGAAGAGAGGATATGTTCTTTGGGGAACCCCTAGACCCAACATTTGGTCTCAGAAAGCCCTAGTTTAATAGAAAAAGTACAATATCTACTCTCAGAGCCACAGTCTCTGCACCTAGGAAACCCCCCAATACCCGGTCTCAGTGGAAATACTCACCTTGCCCTCAATTCACTCAAAACACTCTTTGAGGACCGCCAGTCTGATGGAGGAGACACAGATGTTGCCCGCAGGTATCCCAAGTCCAAGGGGGAATAAAAACAGACTTTGCCCTTGGGGAGCCCCTGACTGATGGGAAAGACGCTTCCCCAACAGGTCCCCCTGCAGCTGGGATGAGTGACAAGCAGCTGGCAACGGGCACTGCTGGACACACCTGGTGCTCTGCAAAGGAAGAAACAGTCCTTGGCTTCAGTCCAGTCTCAGTTGTGCCACAAACTTGCTGCATGACCATGGGCAAGTCACGAATTTTCTTCAGACTATGATTTCCTCATCTGCAAAACGGAGATTTCAAGCCCATCTCTCAAAATGACATGAGGGTCATCCAGTCACCAGAAAGAAAAGAAAGCCAGCCAGCCAGCCAGCCAGGCACACTCCCTAAGGGAAATGATTAACATGCTTTTTATTGAAGCAGAGGTTCCTAGGCGCATCCCTATGGTCTCTGGGGAGGAGCAGGGAGCCCCCCAGGTGTGGTGGCTGGGTAATTCTGAGCCAGTGTGGCCATTAAAGAATCACAGGGGGCTGTTGGCAGCACTGAGGGGCAGAGGGGAGTGCTGTCTAATCTAATCATCTTCCCAAGGAAACTCTCATTCCAGCCAGGCCTTCCAGGGGTTTTATTGGGTTTGTGGGGACCTGCAGATTTCAATCTTCAGACCCCACAGGGAAGGAACAAGTATTAAGCTAATTTTATTAAATGGCCACAGCTGGCAGTAGGGGGAAGTAGGGGAGAGAAGGGAGGATAAAGAAAGTCATTCAAGTCGGCCAGCCATGACAAGGGTCCATACATGGGGCCTGACTGGAAGGGAGGCCACCCCTCCTTCCTGTCTCTCCAGCTGAGCTGGCAGCATGGGGGGCGGGGGAGGCCAGATGGGGCCTTTCCCTCAGTGTAGAGCCTTAGGATTCTCCAAGAGGCTCACACCACGGCTGTTGCCCAGGACAGAGGCTTGTAAATACACCATGCCTCTACAAGAAAGGAGTGGGAGTAGAAGAACTGAGCGCGATGGGGAGAGAGACTGAGCTGCCTCGATGCCATCCTTCCTCGGTTTTGCTTTGGAGATCCCACATCTTTATGAAATGTGGTGTACCGGTTAAGAGCACGTTCTTTGGCTCAAATACTGGCATTTGCCTCTTCCAAGCTCTGTGACCTTGGCAAATTATTTAACCTCTCAGAGCCTTAGTTTCCTCATCATTTCAGATAAAACAACAGTATCCATGTTGAAGGGTATGAGAGCATTTCCTGCCAATCTACACACACACATATTCATGAGATAATATTTATAAAGTTCCTGATAGCTGACACAGAGTGGGTGCTCTCTAAATATTAGCTATTTTTTCGGAATGCTCTAACTGTGTGACGGCCATGGCCCCAGTTACAGGAAGTGAGGGAGGCAGTGACAGGGTGAGGAGACTTAGTATGCAGGCTTTCTTGGACTCAAGTGCTATCACAGAACTTAGCGACTGTTTCACAATAAGCAAGCAAGCTATTTAACCTCCCTGGAAGAAGAATGCAATCTACTCATCCAGCCTCCCAGGGCTCTTGGGAGACTTGAGATGACATACCTGAAAGCAGTTTGCAAACTTTAAAGATGTATAACTAATAAAAGCTATGTTTATTGAGCACATACATTCTATCTCTTTAATCCTCAGTCAAGTGAGGTAGGTCACCTACACTTTAAAGATGCGAAAACTGAGGCCCAGGGGTGAAGTGCTTGGGCCAAGGTCAACCAGCTTTTAGTGCAAAAGCTTGTTCCTTTCATGGCTGTCATTGACCCAGAACTGAGTCAGAGGAGTGACTTGCCCAGGATCACATATAATGGCACTGGATGAGAAGCTGGGTCTCCCAGTTGAAACCTTGCTTTGCCTTTGGAATGCCAATGCCGCTTTCGAGGATGAAAAAAATGGAACTTAACCATCACGGAAGATGATGATGTAACTGGGCTGCTTCCCATTCCAGCTGCCCAGGCCCACTTGGGCTGTAGTGGGCACTGAGCCTCTTGGCCCACCTCCTCCTGGAGCAGCTCTGACTCTAGCACCTGGCTTCCCCCAGATCCATGGGCAGCTTACGGCAGACCCCTACCCAGTCTGGAGGAGGGCAGGGTTGTCGTAGCCTCCTGCAACATCTGCCCAGGGCACAGACTGAAACACAGCGGGGTGGAAGTGTTTTTTATTATAGCTTTGGTCAGGCGCGGCGGGCGTGGCAGGGCCAGGCTTTAGGGAGCGCTGGGAAGCTATCCAGCCCCCATCCCACCCCTTCCCCAGGCAGCGCCACCCTGCAGCGGGAGGGCAACGCATCCCAGCGCGGAAAGTGACCCCGCTGGGATCGGTCCCCAGGCTGGAGCAATAAACAGTCCTATTGTACAAATATACAGAGCAGGCTGGTCAACACAGCTTGCCTCCCGGGGCCCAGGATGGGGCGCGCTGGGCCCGGCTCTGCCGCGAGCCGGCGGGAGGGTCAAGCTGCGGCCAGGGCGGTGGTGGGGGCGGGCCCGGGCGTAGTAGCCGCGGAGGGCAGTCAGCCCAGGGCCGGCAGCGAATTTGTAGCGGGGGTAGGGGAAGGGACGGGTCATCCTCTGCCCGGCCAGGAGGGGGAGCCGAGGGAGGGTGGTTAGGGGATGCAGTGGGACGCGCGGGGAGCTCAATCAGAGTAGATGATGAAGCCGGAGAACGTGCTGTATTTGTTGCTGTTGCCGCCATGCGCTTTGCCACCGTCGAGCTTGATGAAGACCTCGTCGCCTGCGTCCAGGTGCAGGATCACGCTGTTGCTGGCATAGTCGTAGTTCTGGTCTGCGTCCTGGGCAATGGCGCTGGCCCGCACCTGAGGTGGGTGGGGTTGGGAGTAGGGGCGTGTGTGAGAGGGGACGGATGAGGAGGGAGAGAAGTGGGGTCGTGGAGGGAAGGGGAACTGTAAGAGGTAAGGGAGCCATATGGGAGGGTTTTGAGGCCCCATTTCCAGCCCCATCAGGGCTCTCAGTCTGTTTCTCCCCCATCGTCCTCCCTTTCCAATCGTAGTGTGTGTTTTTTGGGGGTGGCAGAGTACAGGAGCCCTGGATTTCTAGGGCCGGTGTAATCTGGGTCTGAATTGGGAGTCAAGGTGGAGTCAGTTTCCTTAACTTCTCTAGGTCTTACCATCTGGCCTGCTGAGGACCTCAACACTGCCTCCAGGATGGCCCCGCCTAGAACTCCCTCCTTGCAGAGAGGAATTCTCTGGACTCCCAAAGATGGAGGGCCATCCCCTCTCTCCTCATCCCTTCTTTTCTGTTTTAATTGTAACAATGATGTCTTACATTTCAGGCACATCCACCTGTTTCATGTCAATGGATGGACGCAAGGAGCATCTTGGCTCCGTAAGTCTAGGGGACTGGACCAATGCCAGGCTGCTGGTAAGTAACCACCCTAGTACTGGGATGTGATCTTTGGACTCCTTGTCAAAAGTTCATTCTGAAGTCTGTCACACTGGAGCAGTGAGATGGAATGCCTGGTAATTATTTCCCCTCCCAAGGCTCAGATTGGGCCTGCACAACCGCCTCTGAGGAGCTGTAGCTATACCTGTGACTATTACCCCACTCAAAAGGGATTTCTGGCTCCTCCTGTCTCACCCCACGGGGCAGAAAGGAAGTGGGTGGGGAAAAAGGAATCCTTATCTCCTTCGGTGATCCTTAGTCTGACCCGATATCCTTGCTGGTCCTTGTTTTGATGGAGGAGGGGAGGGAAGGTAAGACAACAGGTATGGGAGCACCAGCATTTGGGTCTGAAGCCTGCCGCCATCACTTTTGCCGGCTCTGACTATAATCATAAGACACTAAGGGTGTGTGGTGGTGGACAAATTCTCTCCAGGCATTCCTCTCCAACAGCTGAAGGAATGCAAGTCCTGAGCCATAGGACCTGGGCCCCCTCCAGGATATCCTGGGTGGAGACTGGGGAGAGGGGAGCCATTTCCAAGGTTCTGGCTTGTGTTGGGGGGAGGCTGCATTGAGTGAGGTTCACTCAGCCAGGTTCCTCAACAGCCCCACTCCATTTGGCGCTTTTCCTGAAAGCAGCTCCAGCAAGAGCTGACAGTCAGGACAGGACCAAGCCAAATTAGGGGAGGGGCCCATCCTCCCTCCAGGGTGGAATGCGGAACTGTGGGTCAGCTGCACCAAAGCTGCTGACTCAGCAGCAATACTGCAACAGGGGGACCCAACATATTTGCATACAGACTGTCATTTAAAGCCCAGATCCTTCCAGCCATCTTCTCTCCCTTCAATCTCTTCTTCCCCAACCTGGGAAGAAACTGTTTGGGGGCACTTAGCTGGGAAAACTCATGGTCCAGCTAAAGATGGGGGGAAATCAAATAGGAGAGAGATGGGCCTTCTTTGTCAAAAAGCTCAGTTTCTCTGTTTAAAAAATGGATAAGAAGATCCTGCCTCACCACTGCCACCTTTGTAAAAGCTGTTTAATGGTGAAGAAAAAAAATTTTTAATCTCGTTGGGGCTTTGAGCTACTAGGAAAGAACTCAAAGCAAGCAGCCAACTTCCGTATTGTTCCCTGGGCCCTAATCCTGGTAGTATTTATTATTACACATGCATTTCATTATCTTTGCTAATAAATTACTACTAATAACAATTATTTTTATTACCCAGATTAATTTAGCCTTAACTCATTAAAACAGTGTGCTTGTTAATAGCCAAATCCATTAGAATACAGTCATCTGTCATCAGGAATCTCCTGGTGATGTGACAGGCATCAGAACTGTTATGCTTATGTTTATTATTTATTCATCACCATGATTGTTGCTGTGATTATCCTAATTATCCATGGAGGCGGGGAGAATTTGTGCCCTGTGCTTAGGTGGTGAGGGATCTAGGAACAGAACTCTGGGGTTCTAATTCTTTGCTCAAGGCCGGAAACAGCTGAGGCTTCCAGCTCCTCCTGGGGGCGAAGGAGAAGTTTGGGGACTGAGGTCGCCGTGGTCGCCGTGGAAGTAGAAAAGCAAGCCTAGTACTTGTCACGAGGGGGTGCTGTCACCTCTTCAAGGGCTGCCAGGAAGGAAAACTGAGGCAGAAGTCTGACCAGGAGCCTGGAAAGGATGAGGGGAGAGTCCAGAAAACATGCCCCTGCCCCCAAATCAATGCTGGGGTCTTGGATGTTCAGGTGTGCCTCCCATAGGCAGCCAGCCTGGCCCACATGGGACACTTGTGCTTTCATATTTACTCGGTCCCTACTGTGCCAAGCACTGTGCCCTGGGCTGTCTGAAAGGCATTAGAGGCTAGAGAGGATAGCTGGGGGCCCCTCTTCCAGCTTCAGGCAAGAGGCTGATTCCAGTTAGGCCTTTATACCAGTCCTCAATTTATATATTCCACCACCTCTCACCTCACTCACACTCTGGTGTCTAAGCCCCTGCCCATTTATTGGGTTGTCGGAAAAGTCATGACGTATTTCTTCTGTTTTTCGTTGCAAAAATGCGTCATGACTTTTCCGACAACTCAATATCATACTCACCTCCCCATAGGCCTGGCCTGTCCCCACGCAGCCCCCTCTTCCCCAGCCCAGTTTGTCAATTTCATGTCCTCCTTGACCCATATGAACTATGGATCTTAGAGGCAGCTGCAGGGAGCTTACCTCACCCAGGGTACCAGTCCCAACCTAGAAGCCTTCCTCAGGTTCCTCAGGTCTCCATGTCCTAATGACCAGGGCTTAGTGCCATCCGGCTGTGCAGTGGTGACTCATAGCTACCCCTATGGAGAGGGGCCAGTAGGGCTCAGACAAGGAGAGAGGGAGCCTCAACACCAAGCAGGAAGGTGATAACTTTCCCCTTCCCTATCTTGCCCAGGAAAGGGCCAGGGCCCAGATGCAGCTCTGTCACCCTGAAGAAATTCTGGAAGCTTCTCTGCAGTCAGGAAGCCAGGAAGGAAAAGCACAGAGCCCAGGGTTGCCCCTGGTCTTGAGGGCATGGGAGGTGCAAGGTCCTCTTCTGTTCCCATCCATTGCCCAGCCCTGTCATCTTTTCTCTTCTCGCTTGAAAGTCCTCTTTCACTTCTGAGCCAGTCTTTTCCTACACTTGACCTTTTTATTTTCTCCCTAGCTGTGTCCCTTCATCTTAAGGGACCCAGGTTCACCATCTTCTCCTCCGACCAGGTTGATCTGAGCTGGGGCAGATTCCACTGAATCACTCCCTCTGGCCAACACATTTGGGGACAGAAGTTCCCAGCTGGGCTCCCAGTCTTCCTTTAATGCAGTAATCACTGGAGTGTATTATTAAGCAGTCACCACTGTTTCCCCTGCACAGACCATGAGGTCCTGGAAAGCAAGCAGATCAAACCCCTGGAACCAATCCCTGGCTCCTAGTAGGGGCTCAAAACTAGTATGTGGAATGACTGGTGAGATTAAATGAGTCTCTTGGACAATCTGGAAGGAGAAGTCACCAGGGATGGGGGCGGGGGAACAGGCCCCACTATTAATCTTGGGTTTTTTTGGGAGGAGGGGAGGAAATAGAGTAACGGTTAAAATGCTGGGTCTTTGAAACCCCTAGTTAAATCCACCTCTTTTCTTCGCTAGCCTGTGGCCCCACTTCCTTGTCAGGCTCTGCCAGTGCTCTGCCCCTGCTACAGCACACAAAGAAGAGGCTTTTGAGTCAGTTTCACCTCCCAGTGACTGAAGCAAGTACTAAGCACACGCTATCCTTAGGGTCTCCTTTTACCTCATATCAGGGGCCCTGCTGCAACCTCCTGAGGTGGTGCAGGATCTAGAGCCCACGGGTGGCCCCTTACGTCTCCAGGCAAGCTGGGCCCCCAGCCCCCTGAAACCTCAACTTGGTGCCAGCCCAAACTTTCTTTGGAAGAAATTTCAATGGAAGAAATTCCATTGATGAAGGTGACATTGCTGCATCCCTTATTGGTGATTAGTAAGGGGAATCGGGGAGCTGTCTGCAGAATGAGCCTTCACAGAATAAGGGGGCCTCCCTTTTGGTCAGGAACCAAGGACAAAGAGGAGAGACCCAGGAAGCCTGACAGACACAAGTGGGAGAGAGACATCTAAAGAATAGAGAAGGTGGGGGAGAGGTTAAACCCAGTAGAGAGGCCAGAAACACAGGAAGAGACAAATAGGACTGGTAGATACAAGGCAGAGACAGGCACAAGAGCAGGAGAGAGGTGGAAACCAGAGAGAGAAGCAGGCAATGGGGGAGAAAAGGGGGGCCAACTTACAAGCACCTGGTAGGCTTTTTGCTGTCTCTCACTTCCAAGCCAGGGTCTACCTCAGGGCAGTGCTGTAGTGGGAGGGGTTCCAACAGGGGTTCTTGGGTCTCAATCTCAGGAGATTCCTTCCCAACTCCCACCAGCCTAGCTTTATTTCTGACCTATGCAGGTCTCATTCAATAAAAATGTTCAACCTGACCACCCTCAAGGGACCCAGGCTACGTGGTCTGGGAGAACTGGGAAGGGAAGGAGTGTCAAAAGAGAAGGGAGCTGGGCAAAACTGCTGTCCTGGGGCAGGGTTGGGTCAAGGTTGGTCCCAGGGGACAGCAGTTCCAAGGAGAACACCATGCACTGCGGGTCCCAGTACCAAAGACCCTGCGTACTTGGCGCCTGCCAGCTCTGGTCTCTGGGATAGGGACAGAGAATGAAGAGGACCCCCTGACACTCCAGGAGTCAGGAGTTACAGCTAGGGGACCAAGAGGAGGGGGGAGTTTCCACCTCTTCACCCTGCCTCAGGAGGAACAACTTTTTCCCCCAGCCCACCTTCTTGGGCCGGTATCTCGGACACAATACAAAGGGCAGAGGAGTCCTGGGTTTTTGCAAAGGGTGTCAGATCGTCCCAGTAGTCCCTTCCCAAGGGAGTGGAGGATGTATTGCAGCTAAGACTTTGCGTGCCCAGCGTCTTTTGCTTTTGTGCCCAAAACATTTACAGCTCGCCTTCTGGCCTTGCGTGCATGGCTGTGCACCTGGAAGCCCGCGGAAGCGGAGGCTGCTTTTTTCCATCCTTGCCCTCCCCTAATCGCCCGCTGGTATCAACCAGACTCCCAGCTCTCAGATGCCGCTTCCCAACGGCCAAGCTCAAGGGCTAGTCCGCGCGCCCGGGGTCCCTGCGCTCTCAATTCGATCTATCTCTCGCATTTCCATGCTGCGGGTGCCCCGCAGCGTTTGCCTTGGAGCCGGCTCCCAGGAACTGAGGAGTTAGGGGTACCAGCCGGCCCGCATGCAATGCCTTAGGGTTTCCACCTGCGCCCGCTAACTCCGACCCGGTACCCATATGCCCTCAGGCCAACCCCGTGGCCCTGCCTGGCCCACCTGGCCGTTCTTGCAGAGGTCTGCCCACATACTGGTGCCGTCGCCGCCGCGCATGAGGACGTGGTAGGTGAAAAAGTAGGTGCCAGGAATGTTGCACGTAAACTTGCCGCTAGTCGCGTCGTAGTTGTTGCCTAGGTTGGTGACCACGTCGTCGAACTTGAGCACCTCGTAACCCTCGTGAGGGTTCTTGAGGCCGGCGTAGAAGGCCACGCGCGGCACCGTGGTGTAGGTGGCGGTGCTGATGGCGCCGCTGCCCCCCGCGCCCGGCAACCCGGGAGGGCCGGTCTTGCCCGGTTCACCCTTCTCCCCAGGCGGCCCCACGGGGCCCGGAGGACCGGGGTCCCCGGGGGGGCCAGGAGGACCCGGCTTGCCTGTGCGGCCCGGCTTCCCCTGGGGGCCCTGCACCAGCGTGGAGGGCGGGGGCGCGCCGCTTTGCTCGCTCAAGGCGTCGCCGCCGTCGGGCCGCGCGCCGGTGCCGGGGCCCCGCGCGGGGTAGGGGTCGCACACCATGCGGCAGGTGCCCAGCATCTCATAGTGGCCGTCCGGGCCGCCGGAGCTCACCAGCACGGGGATGAGCACCACCAGCACCAACAGCATCACCACGCCGGCGGCGGCCGCCAGCAGCGTCTTCCGGCCGGCGCGAAGCCTGGGGAGCGCCGGGCCGCCCGGCCGCGCCGTCGGGGCAATGATGCCGGCGGGCGAGGGGCGCGGGAAGGGCGCCCGCGCTCAAGGGCGGTCCGGCGGGGCTGCGGGCATGGGGCCGGGCCCGGGGCGCCGCGCTGCGCTGGATGCGCTGCGGAGCCCAGCCTCCGGCTCCTGCCTCGCGCCTCCCTCCTGCTGCGCACCCGGACTGAGAGCGGCAGCCGCCGCCTCCTGCCTCGCTCCTCCCGCCTCCTGGAGCTGGGGCCACCGCCCCCTCCGCCCCGCCCAACTTCACCCGCTAAGAGCGACTCAGCCTCCGCGATGGGTGGGGCTGACGGCGGGGCTGACGCCTAATTGGGCCGCGGGCGGTAGGGCTCCGCCCACCTAGAGGGGCGGGGCAGAGGGGACGGTGCCGTGGAGAAGAACAGAGCCTGGAGAGGAAGGGAGAGACTGAGGAAGGGAGAGACTGAGGGAGGGCGAGATACTGACTCCGAAATGAGAAGGGGTCTAGAGTCTGAGAAACAGGAGAGGCTCGCATAGGGAAAGGGAGAGTAGGGACCAAAGAGTGAGTGGAAGAGAAGGCCACCGGGAGAGCCAGAGAGCGCCGAGGGGAACTGGGAGCTGAGAGAGGAGAGGACTCGAGGGTCGGCTACGAGCGAACCCAAGAGGAACAGAGGGAGGCGAGAGGGGCCACGGTCCGCAGGGGGCGGAGGCGAGGGGGGAAACCCCGGTCTGCAGGGGACAGAAAGAGCGATTGAAGGAAGGACGGAGCGGGGAGCAAGAAGGATCAAGGAAGGGCATTATGAGGGGAAGAGAGGAAGGCAGAAGGAGGATGGGGAGGGGGTCATCGTGCACCCGGGCCTCGCAGACTACCAGCCCGGGAGATTCGGGAGAGATCGCACACCTGTCAGGGTGCCCAGCGGGGTCCCGAGTCCCGATAACAGCCTCTCGCTCCTCTTTTCTGGCTCCTAGCTGTTCCAGGACTTGATTCACAACCCCCTCCCCAGCCCCCCAGCCCGGGGAGGGGCAGAATCGTCTACCTACTTCTCCTCCTCTCCCCTGTCCCTTCCTCACCAAGCTCCAGGCCAGACCAGGCTGCTTTGTCCTGGAAGGCAGGGGGAGGTCTCCATCTTCCTATGATCACTCCCATTATCCCTGCTTTTAGACAAGGGAGAATTTATGGCCCGAAGAAAGTGGGCACCCCCACATTATTTCTCCATCCTGACCAGCACAAACACGTCCCTGGGTGGTGGCCCCCTTTTCCAGTCTCCAAGAGGAGGGTTTGAGTTCACCCTGCCCCACCGCTCCTCCACCCAACCCCAACCTTCTCAGCAGCCCCCTAACTCTTCTCCCTATCAGGTTGTATGAGGCAATTCCTCTTCCTCCAGCGCAGTAAAGTGTTTAGGTTGCATAAACTGAAATGTGTCTGCTCCCATAAAGATATTTGTCACATTATTTGAGGCCCAGCTTGTGCTGCTCCACTGCTCCGCCCTCACCCTCCTTGTCCAGCCCACCAGGGAGGGTTCTGCCTTTTGGAGGCCTCTGGCCACTGCTAAAGGATGACCCTTCAACCCCTTTCTTTTCTCCTGAGAGGTCCCCTCCCAGCTCACACTCTCCTCCTTCTGACCTGTCACCGGGTCCTTACGATGCACTGGCTTTCTCAATCCAAGGTTGAGATTTCTTAACCCCACCCAGAGCTGGGAGGGGGGAAAGGGACAGCAGGATATTAAGTGGTGGGTTATGAGAGCGGGCCTTCCAAGCACCTGTGTCTGAGGCCAGGTTAGAGTGACCCCCACCGCCAAAGAGGGAGCTAAAATAATGCAATAAGTAGCATTTATTCCGGGTTTACTTTGTGTCAGGCCCTGTGTTGAATGCTTTTAGGTATGCGGTCACACTTGATCTTCACACCAAATCATAGAGGTAAAAAGTCCATCATTTCCCTCATTTTACAGATGGAGAACTGAGGCTCCGGCAAGTTAAGAGATTTTCCCAAAGTCTCACTAATAAGTGGTAGAGCTGGGATTCAAACCCTCAGCCTGATTCCATGCTCTTTCAAATTCCACACTATTAGGTCTCTAGGTGCTGTTCACTGCCCAAAGGGAAGAAGGTGCCAAGTGGAGGAGGAGGGGGGCTCCAGGTTCAGGAAGAATAGTCCTCAGCTCTTGGCTGTCAGTCCAGCCTTTGGCCCCCCAGAAGAGCAACTGGGCTGGTGGGTGACCCGAGGGACAAGTGCGCCGTCATTAGCGTATGATTTGTACACCCCCTCTCCCTAGTTCTAACGCAGACGCGTCCCGCCTCCGCTATGCCGCTGGGGCTCGTCCGCCCCCGGCAGCCCTCCCAGAACTCGCTGGGGAAACTGCGGCTGGCCTCCCGAGGCCAAGGAGTGGCGGGAGCACCCACCGCCCGCACTCGCCCGGGCGTCCAAGGCAGCCCGCCCCCCGCTCCGAAAGAGCGCCCGCTCCCCTGGCGCGGTGTGGCGTCTCTGTCAGCCCAGCCGGATTCTCCCCGCTTCGCTGGAGTGGAAAATAACGGCTTCAAACTTTGCAGAGAGGAGCTTGTGCCAGCACTTTAATTAACAGCCATCTTGGCCTGTGAGCCTGGGCCACCAGTCCGCGCCTCCCCAGGGCTCGCCAGGTCCCGCCACAGCCCCGCCCAGGTCCCGAAGGAGGTGAACCCAGGCTGCCGCGCTCGGTGCCGCTTTTCCGAGGGAGATGAGGGCCTGGCTGAAGGAGGGCGGGTGCTGTCTTGGGGGAGCGGGGGACGTCACCCCCAGCTTAATACTTGAGGACCCCCAGCTCTCCCACCCCATCCACCCACCCCCAAATTCTCTAAAGCCTGGCATTTGAAGATTCTGGACTTAGAGACTGCGTGCCAATCCCAGCTGGTGATTTTAAGCTAGTCACCTAACCTGCAGCGCCTCAAGTGTCTTCCTTTGGGAAAAGCGTTGTTGTGAGGATTAAATGAGATATAATGCACGGAAAGCGCTGGGTTCTGTGTCTGACCCTAATAATGCACCCAGTAAATGGTGCCCAATAAAATTATTCCACCTCAAGGCTAAGAAGGTCCTTCCACCACTCCAGGCCTTGGGTCTCCTTCTCCTGCCTTCATCCTATAGACTGCTGTGCTTGGCACTAACAGAGGACAATGGTCTATGCTTCCAGGTTCAGACACAGGACAAGATGAGTGAGGAAGGAACCCTGTAGTTCTGGCTCCCAGGTCTCTTCCTCAACCACCTGCCAAGATCAGGGACCCAGGTTTTCAGAAAGGGAAAGAGATGAGCCATGGGGGAAGGGAGAGCAGCATTATCTGTAGCTGGGATGCTGTCAGTGCTGGGGGCTAAAGATCCAGCTTTACTTTCCCTCCTGTGAGTGGGAGCTCGCTCACTCCTACAGCCCCATCATTCCAGCGGTGGAGAGGGATACCGGGCATTGCAGTGGTCTGTGGAGGGTGCAAGAAAGTGGGTAAGCTCCTCAATTATGTATGGCTGACTTTAGGAAACTGGGTGGCTGTTCCGTGGTATTTTGGGGTCTTTTGAATAAATGTGAGTGGGTGTGAATGTATTAGAGACTGTGTTTGTGTTAGTGTGTGTCTGGGTTTGTGAGTGATGAAAGGGGGGTGCTGTGCCCTGATTCATCAGCTGGCAAATCTGCATTCACTTGTTCATTTGTTCATTCAGTAAACATTTACTGAAAATACCTAGCAAGACATTGCCAGGTGGTAGTGATGGTGTGTCCAAAAATAAGTTAGACGTAAGCAGTACCCCTGAGGAGCTCAGTCTTTGCCTAGGGTCACAGGAAGGAAGAAATGATAAATGCTAGGATAATTATTGCAACTAACATTTTCTGAGCACATACTAAGTGCAAGGTCTTGTGCTAAAGCACTTTACGTGGATTATCTCATTTAAATTTAACAACCTATTATTAGCATGGACTTAAAACTATTACATGACTAATGCCATTTAATATCAATAATCCTATGAGGTAGGTACTCTTATTTTCCCATTTTATAGCTGAGGAAACTAAGGCTTAGGTAGAGGTTTGTGCTAGGTGTTATGAAGCACAGATGAAAAACTCCCAGCTCAAAGGACTCCAGGAAGACTACAGGAGAGGTGTCATTTTTCCAATCTATTTATCCATTCATTCATCCATCGTCCATCCATTCTATAACCCCATATTAAGTGACTGTCCACCACATTCTTATTATTACAAGACAAAGTGATGAGCATGAAAAGACTTCTGACCTCATGTGGTTTGCAGTGTATGTCAGGGACCTGGACAATTAAACAAGCAACTGCTATCTAGCTTGACAAGTAGGCTGGCTGGGAATCTGTGGGCTGCTATAAGAGCATGCAGCTGGGCCAGCTGAGTGGCTCATTGGTTAAGAGTTGGCTTGGGGGCGCGAGCCCTGAGCAGCAGGGCTGCCGGTTCGGATGCCACATGGGCCAGTGATGCTGCGCCCTCTACAGCTAAGATGGTGAACAACAGCTCAACCTGGAGCTGGGCTGCTGTGAGTCACCTGCGACTGCATAGGCTGCAGTGGAGCTGCAGTGAACTGCCTGCCATAAGCTACCCTGAGTGGGAGGGAGGGAAGAATATTCCAGGCAGAGGGGACAGCATGTGCTAAGGACAAGCTTGCAGGGCCTTGTGGGCTGTAACAAGGAATGTATAATTTATCCTGAGAGCAATTAGAAACTACTGAAGGGTGTTGAGAGAGCAATATAATCAGATTTTTTGGATTAGAAAGATTACTCCGGCTACTGTGGGGCAGAGGGGTTAAAATAGACTAAGAGTGTCATAGGGAGATTAGATAGGAGGCAGTTGCAGTGGTCCAGGTGAGAGTTGATAATGGCCTAATCTGGATGGGATGAAGGTGAGAATGGGGACTTCCAGATTTCTGGAAGGATCTTGAAATGTTTATGAATGAATTAAGGATGGATGAATGTTGTTGCTCTTACCTGGGTACCAATATGTGCCAGGCACTCTATACACTATTTAATCCTCACTAGAAGTCTAAGGAATAAACATTATTATCTCCATGTTGGAGACGAGGATGCTAAGGCTCAGAGAGGTTATGTAACTTGCCCGGATTACACAGTTTGTAAGAGGGAGAGTCAGGATTAGACATCAGGTCTGTTTGACCCCTGGTTGGGACTTTTTACTGCTCAGCCCAGCAGCACATACCTGGTGGGGAAAGCAAGGAAAGGCATTTTAGGGAGAAAGAACAGGTTGGTCAAGGCCTAGGAGTATAAAAGGCATA